TTTGAACTCAATCTAAAAGACAAGGTAACTCCTGGATCAAGTATTGAGAGAAATTTGCCTTCATGGAAAACTTTTTGATGGAACTAAACCACATTTGCGTTACACGAAGAGGGAAACCACGAAAACCTTCCAGGGTCAGTCTGACTACAAGGGGACTCTAACCCATGATCCGTCTACTACTAAGGATATTCAACGTCAGAACTGTGATCGATGCGAGCCTAGTGCGGAATTCGTCCGGAATTCGAACCTGGCTCGCCTGATTGGGAGGCTAGCGCTCTAACTCTCGAGTTTTTACTGGTTTCTACCTTTTAAATTTGTTAAAAACTGTACTTTTAAATGTCATTTCGATATTATAAAGTAATAACGCTACTTTTATTTTTTTTAAAAAAGTGTTATTATTTAATTAACAATTATTTCTCGTGGGTAGGATTAGTATTCCGTAATTGCCTGATTGGGAACAATACGAATCGAAATTGACATTTATGCTTTTCTTTTCTCTTTTACAAAAAAAATGTTCGTATCTTTAAAAATTAGTTTCATGAAAAGAAGCAAAAAAAAAAAGATTTTCAATTCGCTAAACAGTTCTAGGACCGTGATAAAAAAATTAAACAAAAATAAAAATAAAATTTGATAATATCAACCGTTCTGAAGACTAAACAATTGGGACCTACATACTCTTTCATTATATTCAACAATCCCATTACACTCAAAAAATTTATAAATTTCGAGAAAGCATGTTTTCATTACTAATTTTGTAGCTTAAATATCGTGTAAACTAATTAATTAGTATAACTATGGTTAACCTCACAAACCATTAAGACTACATGTACTATATGTGAAATAGCGATCATTAGATCAAAAGTCATCTAAAGGCTAATTTGAAATTATGATTCGATGTGATGTAATATTTGTAACAAGGAACGTTACAAATCATAATTTAACCATTTTCATGGGCTGGGATAGCCTGCTTTGTAGGGCGTTGGGCAAATGTCCAAGATATCGTGAGTTTTATCCCCATGTAGTAAATGATTACTGGTGCACGTTAAATCTGTTCAGTTACTAAGTCCTCCATGTTCCCATAGCAATTCATACCTCTGGGGATTCAAAATTGGAGATTGTTCTCCGGTTCAGGTCAAAATTACGACACGTGGATGAATGAATGGGTCCACCCTATAAACGGGCAGTGACGTGTGGGTGGATGTAGTCATATTCTCGGCCATAGATGGCTCCACCGAAAAACAAGAAACGTACACTCCTCCTTAAATTCGCTTGGTTTCAACAGGCAGGCTTGCTGGTATTGGCAAGTGGCATTCGAAACACCATTTTCATTCTGAAACGTCCTCATTTGACTTGAATAGTTTATGTATTTATCAAAGTGACAGGTTTTTTAACTACTGTATTGGGACATTGCTTCAATTTCATCTTATCACAAAAGTGGCTTACTTTAAGGGTTCTCAAATCTCATTCATAAATTTCCCATATTTTAATTTTTTGAGTTAAATCGTCGCTTTCATTGAATGATGAGCCTTGTTTTGGCTTTTCTACAGAAGTGAAAGAGAGTTACCTGAATGTTACTCTTTTCACTATTATGGTTTTGTACAATTTCCACAATTTTTTTTTTTTTAAATTTATTTCTTACTGTTATAAATCAAAATGTAATTTTAAATTAAGTGTTTTTATACATCAAACATGAAAAAGTAAATAAATAAAAGCATATAATTATAAATTAATAACTTTATAATATTAATACAATCTTACTTGAGTATAAAATTGGATTCAAGCTCACAAAAAATTTGGAGTCGGACATTTCCAAAAACCAGTTTACAGAGTAAAATTGTATGGAAAGAACATAATTTACGTGGCACTAAAGCTGCACAATGGGGTTTCTGGACAACATCCCAAAGGATGATCTGAAGACATGCTATCAGAATTTTGATAATCTGCAGAGAGAATTTCATTCGCGAGGCCACTACTTCAATTTAGACATCCATGTAAGGGGGAAGGAAATTTTCTTCTGATAGCTGTAACAATGGGACTGCTCAGCGACCACAGGACTTCCCATTCCACAGATTTTAAGAGCACGTGTGTCGCATGTATTCGGAAAATAGTTTCAGTTTTGATTTTAGTACGGCTTTAGGATAATAACTTTTAGGTAGTCAATTGGGTATAATATAGCCTACGTCACAAGTTGTGTTGTTCCTACTAAATTTAACCCATGAACGGCATTTTCTGCGAGCCTAACTTCAAGCCACAAATAAACAAACGAAGTGTTCGATCGTTTAGAATAGCTGCACGCCAGATTTTATTGCATTATAAAGAAAAGTAATTGAAACTAAATACAGCTAAATAAGCAACAACAACTAAAACAAATAACAACAACTACTAATAACAATAACTAAATAAACAACAACTAAATTCCATTCGTTTAGCATTGCGTCATATGTTGTTCCTACTAAATCGAAGTAGTTGTGTTTTTTTCATATTATACCCAATTACACTGCTTTGCTAAATCACAAAATACAAATATCTAGTGTCTTTTGCCTCTAAATCCAAATTGCTTCCTTTACAGATCCGGTATATTTAATCTATACTCTGTTTTCATGAGCCGTGATGGCTCGCTGAGAGATAGAGCGTTCGCCTTTCAATGAGGCAAACCCGGTTTGAATCCCAGTGATGGCTCGCACCTCAGTGGTAGACGAATCCCTTTGCTGTCAGGCTAACCGTGGTAGGTGTTCCCCTTCATGTAATACAAATGCGGGTTAGTTAAATCAAAAAGCTCTCTACAAAGGCAAATTTCTCCCAATACTTGATCAAGGAGTTCCCTTTGTCTTCTGGATTAGGTTCAAAATTACAAGTCTATGGAGTTGAACAATTGGGTTGGCTGTTCAGCAACGGTTATAAAATTATGAAATGGCTTACAAAGAGATGGCAACAGACCAAAATCATCCAGGCAAAGGTGGCATCCATTTGTTTTATCGTGAAATTAAAATTTTTAACCGATAAACACTAGGCTCAAATATTTTATAAAAAATAAGCAGCATACCCTTAAGCTACTATGGAATGTCTATTGTTTCAGAGAAAAAAATTTCTAGTGGAAGCAGAAGTAATATGTTAATAAATATAAAATTATAAGAACTTAGTCTACCACGACACATAAAAAATGTAAACTCATATATTAAAGGACAATTAGAAAAATGAATATGCTCTAATGTACTGATAAAGGTTTTGTAAAAATTCTATGTGCTTTAGAACTTTCTTCTTTAGCTCACTACTTCCGATAAATGCATACTTTATCAAATAAAAAATGTTCTGATAAATGCATGCTTTATCAGAACATTTTTTATTTGAACACTTGGTAAATAAGTAAATTTTGTGATTTAACAAGTTTTTGTTCTTTTAATAAAGTTAAATTAGAATGATTTTATACGCTACATACGAACTTAAACATATACTAGGAGGCTCCGCCCCCTGCTCGCTAACCCCCGAGAATTGCTACGCAATCCTATGTGGTTCACGCCGTGAACCATGGCTCGCTCGCCAATGAACACAATGTTCTAGCAAAAAGACNCAGTGGTAGACGAATCCCTTTGCTGTCAGGCTAACCGTGGTAGGTGTTCCCCTTCATGTAATACAAATGCGGGTTAGTTAAATCAAAAAGCTCTCTACAAAGGCAAATTTCTCCCAATACTTGATCAAGGAGTTCCCTTTGTCTTCTGGATTGGGTTCAAAATAACAAGGCCACGGAGTTGAACTTTAGTAGTCGTAAACCCGAAAATTAGGTTGGCTGTTCAACGACGGTTATAAAATGGCTTACAAAGAGATGGCAACAAACCAAAATCATCCAGGCAAAGGTGGCATCCATTTGTTTAATTGTGGAATTAAATTTTTTAACTGATAAACACTAGGCTCAAATATTTAATGAAAATTAAGTGACATACCCTTTAGCTACTATGGAATTTCTATTGTTTTAGAGAAAAAAATTTCTAGTGGAAGCAGAAGTAATATGTTAATAAATATAAAATTATAAGAATTTTGTCTACCATGACACATAAAAAATTTAAACTCATATATTAAAGGACAGTTAGAAAAATTATTAAGCTCTAATGTTCTGATAAAGGTTTTGTAAAAATTCTGCGTTAGCTCACTACCTCTGATAAATACATACATACCTTATCAGAACATTTTTTATTTGAACACTTAGAAAATAAGTAAATTTTGTGATTTAACAAGTTTTTGTTCCTTTAATAAAGTTAATTTAGAATGATTTTCTACGCTACATACGAACTTAAACATATATATAAAACATATAAATTGTGCAGAGAAGTTTTTAAATGCAGACAAAATTAAGCTAATTGAGTTTGCTTGAAATTTTTATTTGGCTACTACTTTAAATATTCTGCATATTTCTGAGTTGGCAACCATGTAAAGATATTTCTTTTTAAAAATTCAAATGCTAAAGGATATGAATCAATGATTTTCAAACAAATTTATTAATGAAGTTTAAAGTCATCGAAATTTAAATATTCTTTATATTTAAGAAAAACCTAAGAGAAAAATTATTCAAAATAATGAATTTTTTACCTAAGAATCATTTCTATGTATATTTACATAAAAAAGAGGTTAAAATATGGGATTAGATATACATTAATTTCTATCTTTTTTTTTATGAAAATTTTTTTTCTTGCCCCCTCCCCTGATTGCACAACTATTTTCAGGAGCAATTTATTGAAGAGCTAATAGAAAAACCCACAACTCACTGCCACTGATTTGAGAATTCATTCATTCATTCGCTAACAGTTGATCATACTTTAAGTAATTAATTTGTTCCCAGTTCTGCATAATAAAACCTTAGTTTGCAATAAAAACTATGGAAATTTACATGTACCATCAATAAACTGGCAGTTATTAGATTGAAAATATAATAAATGAAAAATGTAGCTTTAACAACTTTCATGCAAAAAAAAAAAAATAAATAAATAAATAAAACACAAATGCAAAGGTAATGGACAATAATTTAATATACAAACAAGATACGTACTTCTTAAAATATAATAGTTTGTGAGCTAAGATCAATTCACAGGTATCACAATGGTCTCATCTTCGTATAAAAACAAAATTTTAAAAATTCACAAAAAGTTTAATAAATATTACACGTGAAGAACATAAATTTCTTTAAACAAAACAAAATTCATATAACATGAAAATGTACACAATACAAAATAAAGTGCACTCACTAAAAATAATGGGAAAAAAATTTTATGATGGTGCAGGAAAGTCACTTAAAAATGTTAATGGGAGAAAAAAAAGGTTTTAGTTATAAAAAAAAATGTGCCTCAAGGTTTCAAAATATGTACCTTAAGGTTTATGCTCTGTGTACTTGAGTTACTGTATGCATCCGAAAAATTTCAAAAGCGTTTTTTTTCATTCTGTTGAACTTAAAATTCAAGCAAATATTTCTTTTTCACTTCAAATTTAAACTCTTTATTTAAAATTACATTTTTTAGAGAAGTATGTATGATTCTCTTTTTATTACAAAATGTTTTGACATAAAAGATTTAGGGGGATTTTTTTAAAATTTTTATTGTGTGTGGTATCCTAAAAAAATCCTTCATGTGTCAGTAGCTAGTTACATCAATGATTAAAATTAATTTTATTTTTCGTCCTAACTTCAAAATTACAGTTGCTGATAGTTCAGCAGTACACCTCTCAAAATAATATATTTAAACCAAGAAAAGTAATTCAGTCGCCAGTGTATTTTCTATCACTTTGGGAAAAGTAGATTTTACAGTTCACTAGTACCCTAATAAAGAACTTAATTCAGAGTTTTGATTTATTTCTATAATCATGCTGGAGGAAAAAAATTCTCACTTTAAGCTTATTTTTCGATTGCAAGATTGGCCCTTCCTCTCCTTAACTACTACTTTTCTAAATGCAATCAACAATGTTAAACAATATTACAAAACAAAAGAAACTAGAAGGTAAATTTTTTTGAGCTGCGCTTCTGATATTCTTAGTGGATTCGAGTTATATGTGATTTATTAGCCCAAAAGATGAATATGCCTATGTTACACCAAATTGGACGATGAAAATTTACAATACATACTCAAAATAATAAAATGAGATGGTGCTAGAAACTATGCCAGGCAAAGATCTCTGCAGAACACTCTAAGAGGTAAATAATTGAATTTAGTAAAATTTGTCTTTGAATGCATAGAAATAAAATTACAAAAAATTTCATTTTAATTTCTTTCCAAAAACATTCTTACATGGAATAAATTGCCATTGGCCAAATAAATTTCCACTGATCATACAGACTGGGAACCATGACAAATGAGCAGAATCATAAAACACTTTGAATTTCACTCAATAAGATTTCTACTAAGTCATGTTGACCAACAGGGATTTTGAAGTAGAGAATAAATGAATATAGAATGCAATGAACAATCTTCATGCAACATACTTTACTATACTGAATACAGTTTTTAAATAAATTAACCAACATATTTCAGCAACGTTAACGTTTTTAACATGTATCAGACACCAAATTGAACAATAAAAATTCACAATATGTATTCAAAATAATAAAATGAGATGGTGCTAGAAACTATGTCAGGCAAAGATCTCTGTGGGCGAACATGCTAGGTGGTAAATTACTGAATTTAATAAAATTAGTCTTAGCATAAAAATAAAAAATTTTCCTTCTTTCCAAAAACGTTCTTGCATAGAATAAATTAATCAAATAAACTTCCACTGACCATACAAACTAGGAAACCAGAACAGATGTCCAAAAGTTAAAATACTTTTGATATCACTTAACAAGATCTCCACTAAATCATGTCCATCAACAAGGATTTTGAAGTAGAGAATAAATGAACATAGAGATCAATGACTAACCTTCATGCAACATACTATAATATACTGAATATAGTTAAAAGACAAATTAACGTATTTAAGGCGACAAAATTAAAGAGTCTCAATGTCCATTCTTTCAGCAACAAAAATAAAAATTATTAAAAAGCTCACTAAGGCATTTCAGGCAATAAGCACAGAATCATGCTTATCAATAAGTTTACAAAACACAATAGAAAAAACATGAGTAGCACTTGGTAACTTCTAAAAAAAATGTCAAATTTAAAACACAAGTAGTAATACAAATTTTAGAAAAGCTTATTTCTAAACATTTATAAACAAAAAAAGGCTTCTAAGTTGTCAACACAAAAAATTGAAAAATTTTGCTGACTGGCAAAATTTTTTGTTAGTGGGTACTCTCAGTTAATTAATCTTTCAAACACAATTTACAACAATATAATTTTTTTGCTTCAATAACTAAATATAGTAGCTGAGTGACTAATATAAAATACTTTATAAGTTAAGACTGACAATGTCACTTAAATAAATTGCTCATGACTGCTAGTTTAAGCAATCATTTGCACTTGAATAAATTTAAATATTCAAATTAATATTGATATAAATATGAACAAATCAATTCTCAGTCAATATTTTAATGCTTATATATTGATGTCAAATTATAATTTTTTAAATAGTTTAAAAGTTCTTTTCAAATTAATTATTATAAATTTGAAATATCAAACAAATGCCAGTCAATATTTCCCACTTAGAAATCTAACGTAAGCTATCATTAGATTTGTAGTCAAAATTAGAGAAATATAAGTCAAAATAATGCAAAAAATACATTAAAAATATATATCACTAGGAGTATGAAATGAGGTTAAAATAAATTCCACAGAAAATGAATTTTGAGACAATAACAAAACAATAAATCACTTGGCAGTCAAATTAGGTATCGTAAATATCATTAACAGAAAATGTGACATTTGAGATCATAAAATAACCCTAAAATTGCTTTCAAGCAAACTATACAAAATAATTGTAGAGTTGGAACTTTTTTTCTTAATGTCACAGATTTCTTCGCAAACTTGCGAAAGTAATCTCTTATGTTTACCATGTTCATCAATAATGGCGTCAAAACTTTTCTGTGTATCTCCCACACTAGCATTAATATCACAATGGCTAATAATAGTACCAATCACTGACATTTTAAGATCAACAGGTATAAGTTCCCAGACATGACTAGAAGAAAGTTGTAGGTTGTTCATAACCTGTGTGCGTATATGCTGTTCACGTTTCTTGATACTGTGAATAGTTTTGTCCTGGGGAAGGAAACGAACATTGATTGAGATAGAGTTTGACGAGGAATGGGACAGAGACGTACTACGAGAAATCTCGACTTTGTTGTCTGGCAAGGATTTACCACACAATTTAGGTAAAACATCTTTGATTTCGTAGCGATATATTCTTTTTTCATTCATCCTTTCTTTGTCAAGGGAACGGATTTTAATGACATTTTGTTCCTCTTTGCATAAAATAATAATATTGGGTATGCCATGATTTCTGCAGAAATCGGCGGCGTCCTCAAACGTTAGGTTTTTATCGCACAAAACAGTCGCCCTTAGACCGAGATCTTGTATTTCTTTCATTAAAGATGCTTTTTCAGTGGAAAGTCCACTTCCTTCGGAATGTATCAGAAAATCAGCAATTCCTGTCTCTGGTGTTTCCTTGCTAGTACTCTCGGAAAAAACAATACTTTCAACTGCAATACTGGCACCCACAGCCGATTGGCTAATGGATTTCCCGCTATCAAGACTTCTAAGCCTGAATGATTGGATAAGTTTATCATAACGGCCACCAGCAGCAATTATGTCACAAGCATTTTTTTTCTTAGAGCTTTGCTTCGATATACAGTGGAAAAACATACCAGAGAATAGTCCACAGTTGTGGACTAACCCTGGACAAATAACAACAGGAAGCTCTACACGAAGGGCTTCGGTGATTGAAATAATATTATCCAACTCTCTTAGACTCTTTTCAGCTAAAACAGATGCTTTACTCTTTCTATTCATAGTTAAATTGCGCAGAGCTTCTGATATCTTATGTATGCTATCTTCAAGTTCCACAAACTGACAAAGTCTACTTATGGCTCGTTCACTCAAATTATGTAAATCCAAGTTGTTGTCATCTGTCAACAATGCTTTTGTTATCGTCTTATCCTTTCTTTTTCCAGCAAAATACACTATATCGGAAGCTACGATGTCGTCGACTTCGGCATATGCAAAAATAGCTGAGAGCAGTGAAGAGTGGTTAAGGCGAATATAGTATTTCCTTTCTCTTAGAGAAGAAAACTCAGAGATGATTTCAGAAACAGCAGCGATGATTTCACTATCAGGCATGAATGCTTGCGGGTTTGGTGTTACAATATCAAACGCAAACTCGTACTGTTCGTGAGGATGACATCCGTACACTTTCTGCTGTCTATACACTTTTTCCAGAGAGTACCGTTTAAGATGTTGTGTATCACTACGAGCGATAAACCGTGCAAATGGAATTCTTAAATCACGAGGCAACATGACGACGTCACCTCCATGCTCTATTAAGTGCACACAATTTTCACAATGGATGATATCACTCTTTGGCATCAAAGTAGGAACTGATACATAAACTGCGGCATGCAAGCTCATAACTTTGTACAATACCTCAACAACTTTGGTGAACACTGGCTTGTTTCTCAAACTTTGACCTCGTTGACAATCAATATCATAAGTAAACTCTATCTCGGTTGAAACCTTTTGTTTGAATAAAGAGTTCATCATGTGCTTGTACATCCTGCTTTGAGGATTAGAGATGGTATTTTCTAAAAGGTTACTCAATTCACTTTCTTCCATTAGCAATGGTGGTATATACTTGGAGGATATCAATTCCTGTGAACTTGGTCTTTTTGTGACATCATGCTGCAAAAGCCATTCAATAATACGAATCATTTCATCTGATAATAACTCATAGGCTTTATTTGGGAGAATAATGTCTGGTTTTCTTAAATCCGAAAGGATAATGTTTCTTTCCATGAGGGTTACGGGCGGTGGAAAACACATTTCAAAGAATATAATGCCCAAGCTGTAAATATCAACTTTTTGATTATAAATCACCTTCTCAGAACATGCAAGTTCAGGTGCTACATAAAAGGCAGTACCAACTCTACCAGTTTGAGACACATAACAAGCATCTGATTGAGACTCCTGTTCAAAATCATTGAAGGCAGTTTCTAGGGCAAGTGGTTTTGAAATTACATCAGTAGCTAGGCCAAAATCCCCAATTTTTACATGATCATTAGAATCTAAGAAAATGTTCACAGGTTTCAAATCCCTGTGAATTACTCTCTGCAAATGAATGTAATGCAAGCCTTCAACAATTTCTCTAAAAAGTCGCCACATAAGAGACAAATCTTTGTGCAGACCATTGTCGATAGCTGTTCGCAATGTACTCTTTTCACAAAATTCCATTTGAATATACATATACTGCTTTACTTTAATTGGTTGCATCTCACTTTGCACCATGCACCCTGCCTCTGGTGTAGAACTCTCATCACCGCTTGCGATGTGCAAATTAAGGTTTTTATCATCATGTTCATTCTCGTTTAAAAAAACAACAAAGTCATCATCGTCATCACAATCCTCCTCATCAGTAGAAAAATATTTATCGTGAATGTCCCAGCGAATGGATGAGTTATTTTGATTACAAGATTCCTCATTCACAACTTCAAAATCATCTGACTCTGACACTGCACCATTCTGAACAGGACGACGCACATCAGGAGTGGCTTCAATCCAAGAATTATAATACCTGACAATATTTTCATGATTCAATCTGGATAGCAATTTAACCTCTCTCTTTATTTTACGATTCAGCTGTTTATTGTGGGGATTTATGGGAATTCTTTTTAAGGCATACAGCCGGGAATCCAACTTATTTTTCACTTTCCAAACGTGGCCAAAGCCTCCTTTTCCTAGACTCCTTAAAATGTCAAACTCAGTGGTCAGCCTTGAACCTTTGACTTCATCTTTTAAAGAATTTTCTAGATAATCATCTTCAGCTTCATCTTCGTCTACCTTGTTATCTTTAGTGAAAGTCAAAATAACAGTCTGTTGGGAGAGGAAAGGATGCGATAGTAATTGCTCTGCCGACCACCTTTCTTGCTCATCGTGCAAAAAGCATTTATTTAAGAAGTCCTTGAATGTTGGGTTTAAATTATCTGGCAATACAATAGGAGATACTTTTGGAAGGGGACCACTTAATAATGTTAAGAGCAGTACACCAAAACGATAAATATCACTCTTTTGACCACCTTTGCCGATTGTAGGAGGGAAATTATCAATCTCTTCTTCTTTTGACAACATTCTCCACAAATCATACAATCTCTTGTCTAAACTGTAGTCAGATAATTTCACGATTCCACAACTATCTATAAAAATATTGGATAACCGTAAGCTTCTATGCACAATGCTATTTTTATGCAAGCATTGCAGAGCATCAAGAATTTGTCTTGCATAATGCTGCAGCTGAGGTATTGTAATGGAAGTACTATGAAAAACTTGTTGTATGCTACTACCAGAAACAAACTCTTGAAGGATGTAAATAATAATTTTATCTTTCCTGGAATTATATTGCATTCCTAAGTAATGCACTAAGTGATTAGAATTAACCTGTCTTAATGTTCTGTATTCTTGCTCAATAGACTGGAGTTGCTTTAAAAAATATCCTTGAGCTTTTTGTAGAGCTTCCCACTCATCGCCTTTCAATTTATGACTAGCATTGAAATGGAGTGTCCATTTGACAACAGCAACTTGCTTTCCTGTCTCAATATCTAACCCTGCGTAAACGATACAACCTCTTTCTCCATGTTTAAAGCACCTACCACACACTACATTATGTTCTTCTTTGCCAAGAAATCTTAACTTAACATTAACCATGTCCTTGCAGTCTTTCAAAAGAATACTTTCAGAGCAAGATTCTTTTCCAGCGGATACACTTCGACTTCTACGACGTGCAGTAGAGTTAATTTTTGCAGGAGATTCGACTGTAAGTCTTGTGGGGCTGGGAAGACGAGAGTCATCAAACCTAGTCTTTTTTAGGGCATTAAGGGCTTCTCGCTTACGTATTGTTTCTTGTTTGATGGCTAATATCGTCTGTCTGTCATAAAGCTCCCTTTCAAGTTCCTCTTTCTTTTCTTTATCAGCTTCTTCTTTCTCTTTCTGTAGCTTTTGAAACAACATCTCATCATAAAATGATCCTCTGTTAGACTGTTTATGATCATAAAGGAAATTTTGCGTGTGATTGACTAATTCCCACACGACTTCCTTTCCAATAAGTTTTCTGGCTTTTTCAATTAACTCAGATTTGAGCAGTTCAAGGTTATTCTTCGACAAACCTTTGGGATTTCTGAGATCAATAAATGGCGCTGTATCTGGATACTTAGCAGAACACTTCAGATACAACTCCACCTGGGCATCATCATCTTTTTTGCTGGTTGTACTTTCGGCTGGAAAAACAGTGATTGCAATTTCAAGAGGTAATGATTTGATTTCTTTGACTTGACCAGGGAAAATGGAAGATATACAAAGAAGTTCATTTTGTTGACGCTCTTCATAATCTTGATGACTTCTTACACTCATGGTACTCAATAGATATCTGCATGCCTGGAATAAATAAAAATTTTAGCTTTGTTAAACAAACAGTATTTTATCACATTCAAAATCGAACTTTGTTTGAATACAGAGGGCTCTTATTAGTGTGCTTTGTTCTAACCAGATTATCAATTAATAAAGATAAAGTTATGGCTCTCATTTTCTACTAGCAATTAAAGTTAAGAACAACATTCAATGCAGTATTCAATTTATTATGGAAGATATAACAAAATATTAAAAAGAATAAAATTAGTATTTGATGAGCACAAAAANATATTACAGGCACAAGTTTATTAAAAAATCATTCAACTCTCTTTAACATGCTTTATTTCAGTCAGATCTCCAATTAATAAAGACAAAATAATGGTTTACGTCATAGTAGTCTTCAAAACTCTGGCAATAAAGAATTCAGGAAGAGGTTAAAATGAAAAATAAGTTTCATTTAAAAATTCAAAAGAAGATTTCTTTATCGAAGTTCAATAAAAAAAAATTCAACATCTGTTTCTTTGAAAAATGGGAAGTCACAAAATAATAAAATCAATAGGACACAGGTTTGATGATAAAAAGATTAGCATGAACCTCAGAACAGACTAATATATTAATTAAATAAATATAGTGTTAAAAAGATTTTTCTTAACCATATTTTTTTTGGAAAAAGTTATAAAAAGATTTTTCTTAACCATATTTTTTTTGGAAAAAGTTATAAAAACATTTTGCACACCAAGAATCTTAGAACCAAAATACAAATTTTATAATTGAAATAAGAATCACCTAATATGAACAGTTGTCCTTAGTGTGTGAAAGTAATAACCACAGTAATTGGTTCTTATAAAGGAATTTTAGTTTCATAAATGTTTGCTGTAAGAAATATATTTAAATGCCGGAATATTTCAAAAAATTTCTAAAATTTGTTTTGAATTTACAAAAAAAAAAAAACTAATTTCTATATATATAAAGAGTAACTTTAACGGAAGACCCTATTAAAATAGTGATTTAATTAAAATCATTATAAAAGTGGAGTTAACCTTAATTTTATGTTAATACAAATAATCTCTATCTTATTTTAATATTAGTACACCAACAGCTCATTTCTGCAGCAAAAACAAAGGGCACCACACAGTGTTCATGTTTTGCATTTTTCAAAGGGTATCAATACAACCTCCAGAGGTGATTGTGAGCCCAAATCAAAAATCTTGAAAAGTTCTTGAGTAAAATCATTCAAAAAATTAATAACTTTATAAATTTTAATCACTGAAATTTTCAAAACATGATATTCTAAATGAATTATATGCAGCATAATTTAAATGACTAATTATGTGTAAGTTTACTTTTATCTCTACCCACATTTATTATTCTACCAGAAAAAATATTTACAAATGAAAGAGATACCAAGTATAAATTCTAGTGTGGCGGTGACGACATTTTCACTCATTATATTTTTTCTTCAATTTTGTTTATAGCATTTCACTCATTTTTTTTTTTTACTTCAATTTTGTTCATTGACCGGGAGACTTCATTTACTTCACCGGATTTTTTTTTATTTTTTTTGAGCAGTATATTTTTAAGCAAATCATAATTAATGTGGTTGTTGATTATCCATCAATATTGGCAAGTTCTTATCACGTCCACAGGTCACCATTGGGGGGATTTAATTTTTGACTGTGTCAACCTTCATCTATCAAAAGGTACCTCAATATAGAATCGAGTTAACATGTCTTATATACTAGTGATTTGGTATTTAATATTTGTAGCGGTAGTTACGCCACATTAGCGGTAGCGAATAAAATCATCACCAANTTCATCTATCAAAAGGTACCTTAAGATAGAATGGAGTTAACATGTCTTATATACTAGTGATTTGGTATTTAATATTTGTAGTGGTAGTTATGCCACATTAGCGGTAGCGAATAAAATCATCACCAAGACGACAGCAATAATAATGCAACCCGAGAGCAGGGAGCAGAACGTCATGAGTAGTGTGGCAGCGTGCTGGGATAGAAATATAAATATGAATAAAGTTTTGTGTTCATAAGAGAATGTTATCTTTTCCTTTCAAGAGCAAAATGCTCATATAATTAAACCTTTGGACGATCTAGTATGGATAATCAACTAATTATTCCATACTAGTTCTTTCCGGAAACTTTCGAATCACGATTAGCGAAAAATCCGGATCCGGAATTTTTCCAGAGCACAATCACCCCTAAACCTCAAAAAGATAATGATTTAAATAAAAAAAAAATTATTTAAATCAAATAAAAAGTTTTTTTTTTTCAAAAAATAAATATATATATATAAAATTAGCAACATTTATTTTATCAATAAACATATCAAATCAATATATTACAAATCAATAAATAAATCTATGTAAGTATAAAGCTTTTTTCAATTTTTTGTATGTGTACATAGAATTTTCAGTAAGTCTTCAGTAGGAAGTCATAAAAATTAATAGAAAGTTAGGAAGAAAATGTCAGTTGCCAGGTGACCGAGTGGTCAGTGTGCCTGATTATGAACCAATATATATACATATAATAGTTGTTTTATAGTAAATAATCCAGTGGAAGTTTTATTTCACTTGACAAAAATTGCCATTTTCAATAAATGCAACCTGCCCCTTTTTAAAAGAAATGTGAACACTGTATATACAGGGTGCATAGACAAATCTTCCAACAAAAATTAAGCACCTTTTAAGTACTTTTTAAGCACTTGAAAAATATTTAAACACTATAAACATTAACAAAATGGAAATAAATTTCTGAGATTTGACATGATCAAGACAAAATAACTAGTTTCTAACAAAGAACTTTTTTCTTTATTATATTAACCATGATAAAATGATTAAGTAACTTTTCGGCTCGATATCAGAGGGTGGAAAACGAAGCCTGAAATCGAGAATATCTTGCAAAATGCAGCAGAGTTGTACATGTGTATGCAATAAACTCAACAAACCCAGCTCAGTACATGCACCTGAGAAATTCAAAGTATTTAATAAAACGTGCAAAATTATTGGCGCTTTTAAACGCTATGGACCGAATGTAAGACAAAAATGGATTGTGGTTGAATGAATTGTTAAAACGTTCAATAGAATAATGTGAAAGGCAAGCTTTTGAATAATATGTGGCGAAAAACGGCACGGTAAAGAAAAATTCTCATTTTCGAAAAGGGAAAATTAAGCACTTATTAAAAAAACCTTTGTTTTATCGTTTTTTAAAAGCACCAAGGGCTTTTAAAAACCGAAAATCAAAAATAAGTACCTTTAAGCACTTTTTAAAAATGCAACACACCATGACAAATATATATATCCCTGTGGATATGCTTAGCACTTTATTCCATTGGTAGGTTGATAAAACGAGTAAAAGCATGATTGGAGATAAAACACTGGGGGTTTCTACATTTGACTGACAATAACTCATAAGAGATTATCAATGAGACTTGAAATCAGCCAATCAGCTTGACATGAAATCAGGCTGAAAAAAATTATAATTAGAAAGAAAATTATAATACAGCTTTTATGGGAAGACCCTAAGAAGTTTAGCACTGCCAGTTAGAAGAAAAGATCATTTAATACTTACACTTCTCTAATCTCTTGAAAGGAAGGTTACAGTAGCTCCAAAATATTAATATTTAAAGCATCTGAAAATAAATTAATTTTTAAAGGCTGTTTTTTTTATATAGATATATATATTAATATGCATAATATTTTAGATATAGCTATACAATATACTACAGGGGTCTGTCCAGGCCGAATTTACTACCGTTTAGCGGTACCTTCACAAATTCAACTTCAGGAAAAATGGTAGTTTCACAAATTCAACTTCAGGAAAAACAGTAGTTTCACAAAATACTTTTTCTTAAAATTTTATTTTTGCATCCCTTAAGAAACGATAAATCCATATTTTTATGTTGATTTTTTAATATTATTTTTAATTTTTCACAAATTATGTCTATAATTTTCACAAAATAGGTACCTCTAAGAAAAACCTACACAGACCCCTGTACTATGAAAGGCATTGCATTATATTTTACAAAAATATAATGCAAATCGCACAAAAGCAGTCACAAATAGCTTTCAATATACAGGCTAAATTACTAAGTAAACAAGGTAGTATCTCCTCTGTGTGCTTTCTTACTTAGGATGGCATTATAGCTCAATATATTAAATGGTACAAAAATATTACAGGCACAAGTTTTATATAAATAAAACATAAGATGCTTAAAATCAGACCCAAATATAAAGTTTTAGTTTTTTTTTTTTTTACAGCAAAAAAATTGAACAGTTATAATCACGGTTCGTAAAAACCCAGCACGCATCATGTTTGTGGAGGCTTTTTAAAGGTATTTTGGATTTTCCCCCTTTTTTTATTATGTTTTATATGATGATATTTAGAACACAATGATCTATGAATAAAATAGCAACAATGATTCTTCTTATTTTAGGGCTATATGGCATGTAAAAAGAGTGACCTAATTCTTAATTCTTTCTTAATAAATAAATGAAGCACTAAAAAAAAGGAATTAACAAATAATCTACAATATTGTCAATGGTTAAAAATGGTAGTTTTAAATATAAATACACTTAATTCAATTGTGTGAATTTTTATTTTATTTTGATTAATAATTGTTTTCTTTGTAAACAAAAAACATACTTTTTGTTCTGTTATCACCGCTCAACACAAGTTCTTGCATAACACAAAAAAAAAGTGATTGGAACTTTTTAAAAGTCTATGAAACAAGAAACTACATAGAGGGAGGTTTCCGTGTCATGACTAAAGGTAAAATAACTGCAAAGCTTTGGCAACTTCCAGGCAGTGGTACACGAGAAACAGAGAAAAATAGAATAAATCGCAGAACAGGATCAACTTGAAAAGTAAGACTTGTTGTCACACATCATTTTTGTAAAAAATTTGCTAGTTTAAAATCTATATTGTCTTTAATTGGTGTGACATATCAAGATATTGGAATATTCAATATAGAAGTAGAGGATAATATTGCATCCATACCTCAATGACAGTTAGCAACATCTATAATTGAAAAAGGGTTTTTGAAATTGAAAAATTAATTAATGTAACTGAAAAACTAATTAATTTATGTATTGGTCAGACTAGGAATAGTTACAGGGGTACTTGTCAGAACATGTGAAAAAGTTTACAGTTTAAGAAATATAAATTCATAATTTTTTGTGTGAATAATTAAAAATAAATAAATAAAATAGCTGAATTTAATTGCACTAACGAATGGATAATTAGTGCTATGAGTTAAACCCTTTGAGATGGAGTTTTTCTTTTTTTTTAAAGTTTTCTGTTCAGATGTCACCAAAACTTAACAATTATTTTGCTATAGGTTTGCGATCTTTCTATGTAAATCTATCAGATATGTAAATCCTTCCTAAGTGTAACTAGATTCCACGAACTAAAATTAGTTGTTACAATAAGAATTTTTTTCATTTAATTCTTTTTGATTGCTTCTAGGAAAAAAAATTTATTACTCAAATGTAAGTTATAAGTAATTGCTTTAAAAGTTATTGCTTCAATTTAGGATCTAATTGCATATAGAATTTTATTTACAATTAGAACTTCATGTTAATTTTTGTTTTTTTACATAGCATTTTCGTTTTTGTGAATTAAATGAAAATTGATTCACAAAGATTTTTCATATTTTATGATTATATAAAATATATTATAAAAGAATTTTACGAAACAAATAAATGACAGAAGGGATCGCTTCCGTTCTTAAATAAACACAAAAATCATACAGTATTGCATCCATGTTTAGTTACAACTCATTTAGAAAAAGAAAAAACATTAACAGAGAATCTTTACCGCTCCTATTAATAATTTCTTCTAAAAGAAACAGAACAACATTGTAAACTAAGATGTTCACCAATAACTGGTAGTAAATAAAATAAAAACCTAATTAATTATCGAACGAAAAAATTATGAAAACTTAAAACGATATAAATACATATTTCAAATAGCAATTAGAGACTGATATATAAACAAAATTTATGTCTTATTCGTGGAATAAATGATGTTAAATACCACGCGAAGTTCAGCCTAGAACTGCTTAGAAATTTTGAAGCTCAAAACCTNTTACTTAGGATGGCATAATAGTTCAATATATTAGATGGTACGAAAACATTACAGGCACAAGTTTTACATAAATAAAACATAAGATGCCTAATATTAGACCCAAAATTTTTTTACAGCAAAAAAATTTAATAGTTACAATCAGGGTTCGTAAAAACCTACTTGTCAGTAGAAAAACCCAGCACGCATCATGTTTGTGGAGGGAGGCTTTTTAAAGGTATTTTGGATTTCACCCCCCTTTTTTTCACAATTTCTTATTCACTGATTTGTAAAACACAATTAGTGATCTATGAATAAAATACCAACAATGGCTCTTCTAATTTTAGGACTATATGGCATGTAAAAAGAATGACCTAATTTTTTCTTAATAAATAAATGGAGCAATAAAAAATATTAATAAACAAATAATCTACAATATTGTTAATGGTTACAAATGGTAGTTTTAAATATAAATGCACTTAATTCAATTGTATGAATTTTTATTTTATTTTGATTAATAATTGTTTACTTTGTAAACAAAAAACATACTTTTTGTTCTGTTATCACCGCTCAACACAAGTTATTGCATAACACAAAAAAAAAAAACAAAAAAAAAGTAATTGGAACTTTTAAAAAGTCTATGAAACAATAAACTACATAGAGGGAGGTTTCCCTGTCATGACTAAATAACTGCAAAGCTTTGGCAACTTCCAGGCCGTGGTACACGAGAAACTGAGAAAAATGGAATAAATCGCAGAACAGAATCAACTTGAAAAGTAAGACTTGTTGTCACGCATCCTTTTTGTAAAAAATTTGCTAGTTTATAATAGATATTGGAATATTCAATATAGAAGTAGAGGATAATATTGCATCCATACGTCAATGACAATTAGCATCAGCTGTAATTGAAAAAGGGTTTCTGAAATTAAAAAATTAATTAATATAATTGAAAACCTAATTAATTAATGTATTGGTCAGATTAGGAATGGTTACAGAGGGTACTTGTCAGAACATGCGAAAAAGTTTACAGTTTAAAAAAGATAAATTCATTTTTTTTTGTGAATAATTAAATATAAATAAATAAACTAGCTGAATTTAATTGCACTAACGAATGAATAATTAGTGCTATGAGTTAGACCCTTCAAGATAGAGTTTTCCTTTTTTTTTTTAAGTTTTCTGTTCAGTTGTTGTTGTTGTTAATTTACATCGCACTAGAGCTGCACAATGGGCTATTGGCGACGGTCTGGGAAACATCCCGGAGGATGATCCGAAGATATGCCAACACAATTTTGATCCTCTGCAGAGGGGATGGCACCCCCGCTTCGGTAGCCCGACTACCTGCACGCGAAGTTTTCTGTTCAGATGTCACCAAAACTTAACAATTATTTTGCTATACGTTTGCGAATCTATGTATGTAAATCTATCAGATATGTAAATCCTTTCTAAGTGAAACTAAACTCCAAGAACTAAAAATAGTTAATACAATAAGAATTTTTTTAATTTAATTCTTATTGATTGCTTCTAGGAAAAAAAATTAATTACTCAAGTGAAAGTTATAAGTAATTGCTTTAAAAATTATTGCTTTAATTTAGGATCTAATTGCATATAGAATTTTAATTACAATTAAAACTTCATGTTAATGTTTGTTTTTTTATATAGTGTTTTCGTTTCTGTGAATTAAATGAAAATTGATTCACAAAGATTTTTCACATTTTATGATTACATAAAATATATTATAAAAGAATTTTACGAAACAGATAAATGACAGAAGGGATCACTTCCGTTCTTAAATAAACACAAAAATCATACGGTATTGCATCCATGTTTAGTTAGAACTCATTTAGAAAAAGTAAAAACAGTAACAGAGAATCTTTACAGCTCCTATTAATAATTTCTTCTAAAAGAAACAGAACAACATTATAAACTAAGATGTTCACCAATAACTGGTAGTAAATAAAATAAAAACCTAATTAATTATCGAACGAAAAAATTATGAAAACTTAAAACGATATAAATACATATTTTAATTAGCAATCAGAGACTGATATATAAACAAAATTTGTGATATATAAACAAAATCCACACGAACTTCAGCCTAGAACTGCTTAGAAATTTTGAAGCTCAAAACCTCATAAATATTTACCGGTATACTTCACTTTTCGTACGTAATGATGATTAACATTCAATATTTGATTCATAACTCAGTATGACATGTCACAACATAACATTACACATCTCAACGCTCCCTCCACGCGGCTTCATTTCAAAATAAACAAATAAGAAAATAGATTAGTTGTAGAAATGCTGTATTGCATGCTCAGTTTTAATCGGGATTATTATTAAGGGCCATTCTCACTAAATGCAGTATAAGCATAACCTACCGCGGCAGAGAAAAATGGAGAATCAAATTAGTGAGGTATTTTGTAATAAAATATTTTTACTAATCAAGTTTTCCTAATTAAGGTCAACTGCAATCGGAAGTTCTTGAACCACCCTCGGAACTTCTCAGGGTTAAGGAAATATTTTCACTGAATGCAATTCACGCATCTCCGATTAACATTGAGGGAAAAGGGGAAACCGATTAATGTGTTTTTCGCCGAAGAATGCATTTCATTATAATAAATATTAATTTTGCTACTACTTTTTGCTTTTATTTTTGCTCAAAATACTTAGCTTAGAAACATAAATTTTAGCTTAGAAATGTAAATTAACATAAGTTTATCTTAGCAACATGAAATTAGTTAAATTTTTGAATTGAGAGGGCTACTGAAAAGCTCTCCAGCTCAAGCTCTCCAGGCCTCTCTACTTGCTTCTAGCACACCATATAGAAATTAAAATAATTAAATTATATACATGTCAACCATCTCGGACATTAAACTTATTTTTCTTTCAATTTCATACATTATTTTTAAGGTGATGATCGAAAAATACCAAAATTTTTACGTGCCCTATGTGGCAGTCTACAAAATACATACCTAAATGAAACTTATGCCTGCCAAACAAATATTTGAAAAGCATTAATACAGTCGAATTCCGTTTTAGCTCATTCCAATAGACCGAAACAATCACTATAGTGATTGTTTCGCATTAATTCGTTATATTGACATTGCGAATTTAACATTAGCCCAAATTATTTTGCTACGTTGGAATTTTTCGTATACGAAAAATTTATAAATGCTAGACAGTTTTAATATATTTGTATTCTACATTTAGGAAAATATCAATGTAATATTTAAATGGCTAGCAAAATCTATTAAAGTAAACATTGAATTTATATATACTACTTATCAGAAAAATATGTATTCCGCAATTGTTTTCTCTATTAACGACTTAGGACCAGTAGGTAGGTCTAACTTCTTTAAATTAAGTACACGTTCCAACAAAGGTATTAGAAAAGTTTTTTGTGCGATAAATATCTCTTTATAGATTCTGAATTGGGCAAGGCTAGTGAATCTGTTTAGGAACAGACATGATACGATTTTGCCTAATTAGGGCCTGATGCAAAAACTACATTTAGGGCCCCTTTTTACTTTACTACTTTAATAATGAAGAACCGAACTTTATGGAGGTATTTAAATTTTGCTATATAGAAAAATACAGGCTTTTCATTGGCCAAATTTGACCATCGTAATTGCGAAAATTTAACTGAATTCCACCCTAGAAAGTCATGGATTTACGAAATATAGTTCTTTTGTGTTCATAAGATAGATTAATGAAGAAGCTAACATAAAACCTCCCACGGATAGCCTAACGGCAAGGGGATTCTAACCCAAGATACGTCTACCACTTGGGATAATTTTACGTCAGCACTGTGGTAGGTGCAAACCGGATGCGTAATTCGTATCAACCAGCAATCACTGGGATTCGAACCAGTTCACCTCATTGGAAGGCGAACGCTATATCCCCTGCGCCATCACTGCTCATACAAGGATATTTTCAAAAATGTGAAGTACACAAAAAAAAATCACCCTTAACATTCGATCTGATTATCGAATTCATGTATAGGACTCAATCTTAAGGCTAACTCTGTAATATTCTAAGTTGAAAGCTATTGTGCCAATTCTAGCCATCTTTATGACGCCTTCTTTTTTTAAACTTTGATTATAATACAGTCGGATCTCTATTTAACGAAATCGCTGAATCCCGATATCAAGTTCGTTATATGGAAAACTCGTTAAATGGAAAATCAACTTTTGAAATACTTAAACACAAAACAGGTTTTAAATTCATAAACACGATACATAGCTAAAATAGAAATTGATGCACCTTTATCTTGTAAAGTAGTACCTACTATTTATTTTATACATATTTACCATAAAAGAAATCTGCATGGAAAGCAAGAATAGAGCAAAACATTATCCAGTGGTACACTGTCATGCTACATACATTTTGAACTAAAAAAAAAGCTAAATTTTTGTATAAAATTATAGCTGCATTTTTTATAAAAGTAATTTTAAACATACATTACGTCATGCGTTCGTTAATTTTGTCTGAGTTTTTCGTTTGAAATGCAAACAAAATGGGAAAGGGATTTAACTGTTTTCTCTAAAAATTAAATAGGTTCGAAAATCAATTCAGGGTCATTTCCCACATAAAATGCATTACGTTCTGAAATATTTTAAGAAATGGGGATCTCAAAAAAAAAAAAAAGTTCCTTAAATAGGAAATTGACTTCGCTATTTGGAAGTTACTTTACGAAGAAATTTCCAAAATGTCCCTGGTTCCTCGAAAAAAGTCGCAAATTAGAAAAATTCGCAAAACGGAAGTTCGTTAAATAGAAGTCCGACTATATTTCATTCCATTGTAGCTATTTCTAACAATGGAGGTTGATATATAGAAAAACAATAATGGCGAAGCAAATACTGTAGGTATAATCAAATGATTGAAACATTTGTAGACAATAAAACGACAAATCGTTTCAAATTTTGGAGACTTCTGAATTATAAGGTTTTAACAATATAAATAAATATAGTTCGTCTATGGTAAGAATCCCTTCCCCCCACCTCCACAAAGTCTATGGTCGTTTGTTGCTATGGAAATAAGAATACCACATTTTAAGAAGGGTAGCTTTTTTTCACTCTAGGGCTAACACAATAGACTGAAGAAAAATATTCCCTTTCTCTCGCTGACCCCATACCCCTGCTTGAAATGGTTATACCTCGTTACCATAGTCACAGCCACGGGTCCAGACGAATCGATAGGGGAGTTCTTACTTTAGACAAATTATAAAAGTACATGAACATCTTGAAGTAATGAAGATAAGCGGTGTAGTACTGAACTACACAATTTGAATTAATGCTAGTTGAAAAATTTAAGATTAGTGAATTAAATTTAGAATAATGAATAATCCCACACCAGAGTTTTATTAGTTTCAATAAAAAATATTTATTGGACTTTAAATCTTATCATTAAATTATTACAATGATCTGAAAATCAAGTGAAAAACTGTGTACATTTTTGTTACAGTTATAGTTAGAACATTTTTTGTAAAAACCATAAATTTTTATTTTAAATTACAATTAAACAATATAAAAAACACATTGAAATATAATAGAATAGCAATCCTCTTTGAAGCGAATTTACATGTTTTAAAATGGCAGAAGAATATAACTTTGCAATTTTCACTTAAGATTATTTAGATTTATGGGGAAAGATATCTCGTTTCGATACTTCCAATAGAAAAAAAAAGATGAAAAATTAAAACTAAAAATAATTTAAAAAATTCAACTAGGAGGACCAAAATATGAAAAATAGGAACAAAAGGGTAAAAACTGAGTAAACGGAGATTAATTTAGGCGTCATGAGACTTCCTAAGATTAGAATAACTCAATATCCACTGACAAATTACAAGTTGTCAATTTCTTCCTACCTTATGGGAAGCCTGCAAATTTGTCAGTGTGACATCACAACTACAAGTAGTATAGTATAGTTAAACGAAATAAACTCATGAATGTATTACACTATCACAGACTAAATTGTTATTTTTAAATTTCAGCTACGTTTCATGTGGTTCTTCATTTATTTCCGATGTAATGGCTATAAAAGAAGAATAAAGAATGATGCTATCACTTTTAGCCATTGTCAATGTTGATATGTATTTGGACGTTATTAATTCCTCTGAAGTAGGCCTTTTTGTAACATCATGCTGTAGAAGCCATATAAGGAGATGAATCATGTCGTCACTTAACAGCTCATAAGCTGTATCAGGAAGAATGATATCTCTCTTTCTTAAATCAGTCAAAATTATACTTCGTTCCATAAACGTCACTGGCGGTGGGAAGCACATCTCGAAGAGTATGATGCCCAAGCTGTAAATATCTACTTTTTGATCATATGGAACTTTATCGGAACATGCAAGTTCAGGTGCAACATAAAATGCAGTTCCAACCCCACCAGTGTGAGAAACATAAGTACTTGAACAAGATTCGTATTTTAATTCATTCAAAGAGATTTCTGAGCCTACAGCTTTGGAAATGATGTCTGTAGCAAGACCAAAATCTCCAATTTTGACACGATCATTTGAATCTAAGAAAATGTTCACGGGTTTTAAGTCTCTATGGATAATTCCTTGTTGGTGAATATAGTGTAAACCTTCTACAATTTCCTTAAAGAGACGCCATAAACGTGGGATGTCTCTGTACAAGCTAGTATCAATTGCTGTCCGCAAAGTGCTATTCTCACAGAATTCCATTTGGATATACATGTAATGTCTCATCCTAATTGATGAATCTTTATTTGAAACTATTGATTGAACGTTCGTAGTAATACGTTTTGTGTGTGATATATTTAAACTTTTTTCTCCACATTCCTTTTCATTCAAAAATATGACAGAATCATTGTTGTTATCAAAATCCTCCTCATCAGATGAAAGCTGGCTGTCATGTATGTCCCAACATACAGAAGAATAAGACTGACTAAAGCTCTGTTTACTTTTTGTTTCGCATTTCTTTGACACTGAAATTGCATTGTTCTGCAAACATTGCACATCAGGTGTAGTTTCAATCCAAGAATTGTAATATCTGACAATATTCTCGTGGCTTAATCTTGAAAGCAATGTAACTTCGCGTTTAATTTTATAATTCAGTTGCTTGTTGTTAGGGTCAAGAGGTATTCTTTTCAACGCATACACCCTGGAATCCAGTTTATTTTGCACCTTCCAAACATGGCCAAAACCTCCTTTTCCTAGACTTTTTAAAATATCGAATTCAGTAGTCAGCCTAGAGTGATTTGAATAAGGTCTTAAAGAATTTTCTAGACAATCAGGTTTATTTTCATTATCTACTTTATCTCTAAATAAATCTATATTGCTAGCGGGATTGGAAAGAAATGGGTGTGAGAGTAATTGCTCAGCTGACCACCTCACTTTCTCATCACTGATAAAACATTTGTTAAGGAACTCTTTCAATACTAGGTTTACATTATCTGGAATAATAATTGGATACTCGTTCTTTAAGTGTCCAATAAATAAAGTTAGAAGTAAAATTCCAAAATTATATATATCATCTTTTGAGTTATATTTGGGACTTGAAGAGAGGCAGTCATTAACAACATCTTTAGACAGCGTTCCTGATAAGGCTTCCAGTTTTTTGTCTAAACAGTAATCGGCTAATTTCACAGATCCGGAACTATCAATGAAAACACTAGATAATCGTAAATTTTGATGCACAATTCCATTTTTGTGCAAGCACTGTAAAGCCTCAAGAATTTTTCTTGCATAAAGTTGCAAGCAAGATATAGTTACGGGTATATTCTGCAAGATTTGTTGCAAGTTAATGCCACACACCAACTCTTGAAGGACATAAACAATAATTTTATCCTTTTTTAAGGTGTGCTGCATTCCTAAATAATGTACTAAATTATTAAATTTCATAAGTCTCAGGTTTTTGGATTCTTGCTCAATAGCCGTAATTTGTCTCAAATAATTAGCTTTATACATCTTCAAATTTTCCCTCTTATCAGTTAAATTGCTACTGCATAAAGGGAAAACCCATTTAACAACAGCAACAAGATTGCCGGAATTAGTATCCAATCCTTTGTAGACAATGCAACCCCTTTGTCCATGCCTAAAGCACTTACCAATGACAATATTATGCTCTTCTTTACCAAAAAATTTCAATTTCGAATTTAGCATATCTTTACAATTGCTTTGAAGACATTTTTCACTGCCTGTGTCTTCAGTTGATTCTTTTGACTTTTCATGTTTTTTATCATTTGAGCTATTGGGAACATAAGTTGTCATGTCCATTTTCACAATTAATCTTTAAGGAGGCACAGAATAGGATAATAATGCAAGGCAGACAATATCTTTGCTACTTACAGAATCTTGATAATCTTATTAGGGTTATCGAAAGCCTGAAAGAAAAGCATGTAAAACGTTAAACTATATATGGTTGTGACATATTTTATCAGAGATGTATTTTGATTTTGGAATAGGTTTAATAAAATCTAATCTAAAATCGTATTTCCTAACTAAGTATTATTAGAAATAGTTTTCATGCCTATTTAAGTTTTAATATTTACGTGCTTGCAAATTTATGTTCTGAAAAAGAAAAAACGAAATTTGATGAATGGAAACTAGACAACTTTATGCTGCTCTAAAAAATTTTGTAATCTTTTTCTTTTTTTAAATTATCTTCAGGCAAGTCAATTTCAGTAATTTTTTAACACTTGTTTCATATTTGCTGTTTTCCTGTTATTATAGAGTGGATTTTAATGGAGCATTTCTGATAGACTTCATACTTCTATGGTAACTTTTTTTTACACAGTAATATTGATAACTGGTAGCATACGTAACTGCAGTTTTCAATGTTAAAGTTTTGTTTTCAAACAATAGTTGTTTTATTAACTTTCCTTTTATGAATGGCATTTTTATGACACAACACTTTTTTAAAGAGCGCTTCTAAAAAACATAAACTTTTTTTATTGTCATTTTTTTTCTAAAATATGGAAGTGTAAAAATTTAAATTTTAAGCATTAAATTTTTATTTTAAAAAATAAGAGTCTTTGTTACTACTAACATTTTATTGGAAATTTTTTTTATTTATTATGGTATGACAATTTTTAAGAGCGCTACTATTAGATTCTATTAACTTTTTCTTGAAAGTACGGCGATTGGATTAACAGAGGTGTTTTCCGGAAATTATTTTTACACCAAAGTTATGTTTTAAGAGTAAAGAGGATTTTTTTTTTTAATATCTCAACTTTTCCATGTGACAGTAAGGTTCTGGATTTCATGTCAGAGGTATGGGTGTTCTTTTCTTCGTCTCTGCACTATTTGTCCTTCTTACAATATAATATGATATCCCAGAAAGAGTGCTCAACACATCTGCTTTTCTGGCACCCAAATGTCAATATATGGTTGGAAAAAAATTGGACATTGAAAAAAAAATTACAACTTTTTTTTATATTTCTTATATCTGCAGTCAGATTTCCTTTATCTTAAATATTTCTCATGGATAACTAGTACAATATCTTACATAAAATAGTTTTATATGGGAAAAAAATTAATCATAAGAAATTATTATTAACATTTAGCGAAGACTTTCGAAAATTGGCGAATACTTTTGATATATGACTCATTTACTGGCTAATAATTTTAAATCCTTAGCTTCAGCCCAGTACATATGTATATATACTAGGACTGGGCTATAAATCGATATATCGCGACATATCGATTTAACGCCTATATCGGCAAACCGATACAGCAACTTTCATTCCAAGCGATACATCAGAAATGTGATTTAAGCCGTCGAGTGAANGAAATCCTTAGCACGAGCCCAGTACGTATATATATATACATATAAATATTTGTTATGATAAATCAATTATTGTAAAAAAAAGGGAAATCTTTTTTAAATGGTATTAGTCTTTCATTTTTAAATCAGTTCTAATAATTAAAAGTATAAATTTTTCTGCAAATCTGCTACTTAGATTATAGATAAAATAAAGATTTAGTGCTTAGAAAACTAATGTTTAATAAAAATGATCATACTAGTCACCAATATGACTAAATATGCATACAGCTCTTTGTTAGTTAACCTGCTGTGCAAGAGGCCCTTCACTGAAAAAGTTTGTGCACACTTAATCTAATAGAAAGAAAGAAATTTTCAACCTATTTAAAACTCACACTGTAATTTACCCACCACATTTTCAACCCTATGCACAGACTTACAAAATAAAAAAACTTAAGGTGAACATAATCTCAATTAAAAAACTTTCAGCAAGAATTTTATTGACTCTTATTATTTTTTTTTTATAAGTGTAACGTATTAATGCAATAAATAAATGCTGGTGTACATAAATCACTATATTGATTATTATATACACCACCATTTATTTATTGAAATATAGCACTTTTTGGAGGATATAAAAACAAGTTATTGACTACCTTGTTTTATCTTATGCGCTTGACTTTCTTTGTATATCTAAATTTTAAGACACACAGAAACATTGCAATGCAAACATTTAAAAATATTTTAATACGAATCATTTTTCAATTCTCTTACACTTAAATAATCTTGCTTTCTTTTGCTATTCAATTAACAATATATAACAGTAAAAAAATACATTAACTGCTAAAAATTTTGACCATTTTTTTTTTTTTTTTTTTTTTTTTTTTTTTTTTTTTNATTTTTTTTTTTATGTAGTGAGCTATACGAAAAAATTTTCTGTGATGATGTTAAATTTTCCGCAAACAGCATTCCCACGTTTGTGTATATAAGCATATCTACTTGTGTATATATGCATTATATGCATATCTACTCATACAACTATCTTGTTTAACATGATTTCAATTACTCATGGTTAATCTTGTTCAGTTCTTACAAGTTGTAACTTGTCTCGATACTTCTGCATCTCTTTGTTTATTCATTCTTATATTTTGTGTTTTGATAGTAAAAATTAGACCATGTAGATAGTAAAAATTCTCCTTTTATTATAAAATACAAAAAGAGCCCCACATCTGTTCTATGTGACATTATTTGTCTTCAATTATAATGCTTTAAGTTTACCCAAGCAAAAACAAAACAATATGAATCAGTAGTAAAAATTTTCAATGTTAATTTTTCCGATAATATTCCCTTTTTAGTATTTGATATTTAGATTTAAAAATATTGTTGTGCCAATAAAATAAATTCGCTTTACAATTTTTAAACATACATTTATATCAGATATTTAAGGTCAAATCAAGTCTTCAAACTTTGACTTACAATCAGAACGTTATATGGGAAACCGATTGCAAACTAGGTGATAGTACTTATTCCTTACCATGAACCATAACTTGGACAATTTTAAAATTTAAAATCCAAAAATTGGTAAAATTAAAATGACTTATTTTGTCATATATAAGTCAATTCCACATTTTGAGAACTTTTAAACATGAACAGATTTAAACATTTTAGTTTGTTATGATGCTATTTTGAAACATGAAACCATTCAAAAGCAACAAAAATAAAAATAATTATATTTCATTTAAAAAAATATATATCCTTTCATTTACACACATTATAAACTCATTATAAACCCATTTTATACTCATGAAGCTTGTATTTCTTCAGAAACAAGAATAAACTTCAATTATTAACAAACAAAAAATATAATTAAAAATTAGAAATGATTCTGAATGCTGCTTCAAATCATAACTAAATGTTATTTTTTTCTAAATTCAGGACTATATTAAACCTAAATAAGCTATACAAAATTTAGCTACTTCATGAAACACAGCTAATCTCATAATGAAATACTCTCATTCTACTCCCTAATAAACAAATAGTGCTAATTTTGACAATTTGTTGGGTTTTTTTTAAATTTAATTTTAAGCTGTTTTATCTGCAGTTTAAAATAAATCTATCAATTAAGGCATCTTTTAATCAACAAAGCAAAAAATGTTGAAAATACTTGTTAAAATTAAACACACAAATATCAAATTGGGAAGATTTCTAATTTACGGGGCATATTTCCCTATCCTGATCTGTCGCACCAACTATAATTGCAAAATGGATCCTAAACTTGTAATTTAAAAAAAACAAAACATAGAGGTCTCCCGGGGAAGGATAAGAGTTATACTCTTTGAGTTGGTCTCATTTTGTAAATTTTCTTAATTTTATCGAGGGCTATTGCCTGGATGTTGTTAAGAGTTGGTGAATATTCTCTAAAAATCTTCTCAAATTAAGTGCTTTGCAAAATTATAATTTTTGTAATCTGGTTTTTATATAGCAGAAAGATTTTTGTATTGTGATCAACGCCAGAATAATCATAAAGTCTAGGCAACTTCTGGGCAGCGTCCCGCGAGAAACTATATAAATATGTGTATGCATATATATATATATGTGTGTGTATATATTTATAGTCTCTTCTATCCATTGCCAATGAAGAAAAGTCAGCAAAAATTGAATTCTCTCTTTGACTCATGACCTAATTCTTGAACTTAATTCTTTGGTACATTTTGCAGTAACATATTACTTTAAATTTATGATTTATTTTTTGCTACTGCCAATATGAAGAAACAAATTTAGCTTTTTTCCAGGGGTGCATTTGATAGTTATATAACAAAATCTTTTCAGGATGCTGAAGTGAAGGCCTTGTCAGCTCCTATGTCACTTCGTAAGCATAAAAAAATTATCTTTCCATCTGAAGTAAGTGTTATTCATTCACTTTTAAGTTGGTTAAATATTAATTTAGACATACTCTAAAAACATAATAATTTTAGGCTCGCATGAGGAAATGTACTTACTATGCAGAACTCCATCTTCATTTACTCTTTGAATCAAATGATGAATCTGTTCAAACAAAAAGAATATTTTTTATTCCATTAATGCTAAAAGTAAGTTATTTACATGTAGTTATAGCAATAAATAAATAATACAGTAGGAGACTGATTATCCGGGACCATCGCTATTCCGGATAACTGATTTTTCCGGTTTTCAGAATCACTACAAAAAGCCGTTTTTTTATTGTTAAACCCAACAAAAAATAAAAAAATATTTAGAAATAATCTTAAAAAAAGAAAAAACGATGAAGTAATACAACTAATGATTATTTCTACAATTATGGTAAAGTAAACATCTTTCAAAAAAGAACGAAAAATCCTAAAATCTTATGAGGAAAAAAAACATTTTTTTTTTAAAAATAGCGGGAAAATTTATCGAATTTCGTTCCGGTTTTTTGGTTTTCTGATTTCCGGATAACGGGTTCTGTACTGCATCACCTTGTTCTCATTATGGTAACCAGAAATAGGAAGAAAAAAAATTTCAAGATGTTTTTCATCTTGTTAAGTTTAGAGACATAATAACAGTTTAAAATGAAAATACTTGTTATAATTTCGCAAACATAGGCTTGATTGTATTATGAACTTTCTAGACTTTGCAGTAGTATATTCACTTGACTTTTTTTAATATTATTAGTAGTACTAGTAATATCTCAATTTTATTTTATTGTTAACATTCACTTAAGTAAAATATCACTGAGCAAGGAGAAATTCCGTTTTGGTTGATACCAAATGAAAAGTTTANTCGAGCAGTCATCGCTGGGAATCGAACCCGGCTCACCTCGTTGGAAGGTGAATGCTCTATCCCCTGAGCCACCGCGGCTCTTTTTGCAACATTGCCAAAAGGCTTAAATACTTCAAACAACGCTTTTATTTCGCATCGCATCAAAAAAGAGATTATAAATATTTTAGGAAGGGCGCCAGTGCGAGATTTGCCATAGGCGCTTCCTTCCATAGATACGCCTCTGGATGGCACCCCTACATCGGCAACCCGACGACCTGCGCGCGAAGTCGAGCACTTTACGGTAGCACAGTTTAACGAGGACCAATACCGCATACCCTCGCTCCCTACGCAGACTAATCCAAGTGGTCACCCACCCACACACTGACCGTAGTCAGTGATGCTTGACTTCAGTGATCTGCTGGGAACCGTGTCTTAACGATCAGTCCACTGCGGAACCCCAAATGTTTAATATGATATGCGTTTGATATAGATTTTTATATTAAAAATGAATTACCCATGACATTTGAATGTGAATGAAACCACGGTATGAATTTAAGCCATTGAAACCATATTTGTATAGCTTTCGAAATTTTTCATGCTCGCGCTTCGTATGCTTTCTGGATTAGTCTGCGTAGGGATCGAGAGTGCGCGGTATGGTCCTCGTTAAACTTTTCTACCGTAAAGTGCTAGACTTCGCGTGCAGGTCGTTGGGCTACCGAAACAGGGGTGCCATCCGTATGATCCCAATGCAGAGAGTAATTGTGATGGCATGTCTTCGGATCATCCTCTGGGATGTTTCCCAGACTGTTGCCAATTGCTCATTGGGCAGCTCTAGTGCGACGTAAATGAACTGCAACAATAGTATGTTTTCTACGTTATTTTGAATTACCATGTTGCAAATTATTTACATTTTAGGAATAGATCATAATTTTTTTTTCAGTATTTGTTTAAAACATCGATAGGCAAACTATTGAACTAAAGAAAACTGAATCAGATCATCCTCAGGGATGGTTTTCAGATTATCGCCAATAGCCCATTGTGCGACATAAATAATGTACCCTCCCTACCAAGAAACTGGATTGAAGAAAGTCTATAAAAATATGCATAGTTAGCATTTGTTGTTATTTCATCTTCACAATAAAATTTTAAATGAATTGAAAAAGTACTACATGCTTACTTTTAAACACAAGTTCGTTTTTCATAAGATCTTTACTATTCAAAGTTCACTCTTAGTAAGAAATTCTAATTTTAGTAATAATTTATTATTTGATTGGTCGAAAAAGGCTTTAATTTGCCTTTTAATTTTTCATCCATTTGAGCTACCTAAAACTATTCTACAGCTTACGTTCAAATTTCATATTTTTTCTTTTAAAACTACGTAATTCAAAAGGATGAAAAAGTATACACATCTTATGGTTCAAATATTTTATTTTGATGTTTGTAAAATTTTGATGTTATTGTTGTTAATTTACGTCGCACTAGAGCTGCACAATGGGCTATTGGCGACGGTCTGGGAAACATCAAGGAAGATGATTCGAAGACATGCCATCACAATTTTGATCCTCTGTGGAGGGAATGGCAACCCCGTTTCGGTAACTCGACGACCTGCACGCGAATTCGAGAACTTTACGGTGGCACAGTTTAACGAGGACCAATACTGCACACCCTTTTGTCCCTTACGCAGACTGATCCAAGTGGTCACCCACCCGCACACTGTAGCTAGTGATGCTTGACTTTGGTGATCTGCTGGGAACCGTGTCTTAACGATCAGTCCACTGCGGGACTTAAATATTTTGAAGAAACAAGTTGTATTATTGAGTGCAAAAAAAAAAGATTTTCGTTTGTAAAAATATTTTGGTTTGTATATAAATATTTTGGCGAAACAAGCTTCCTATTTGTGTGCAAAAAAAAGCTTTTGGCTTGTTTAAAGATGACAAAAGATATAACAAAACAAGCATTCATTAAAATTAACAGAGATTCAAATTTACGACCGCTCTTCCGATTGATCTATTTGAATCACATTTTTAAGTTAAATTATTCCATAAATATTATCAGAATTATCAATTGTTAAATGTGTGGTAAAAATATCTCGCATTCTAAAAAAAAGGCATTTACAGTTGAAATTTTAACGGGCTGAAAGGAAATTCGATTCCAATTGAAATTTTTTGACAGTAATAAGTTTTTGCTCTTTTTACTATACACAATAATAAAAAGGAAAAAGTTACTTTTCGGTTAGGTTAGCATAATTAAAAGTCGCCAAAAAATGTAGACCTTTGTTAATTTTTTTCAACTAGGAGGTTCCGCCCCCTGCTCGCTAACGCTCTCCAACCCCCGAGAATTGCTACACAATCCTATGTGGNATAAATATTATCAGAATTATCAATTGTTAAATGTGTGGTAAAAATATCTCGCATCCTAAAAAAAAGGCATTTGCAGTTGAAATTTTAACGGCCTGAAAGGAAATTCGATTCCAATTGAAATTTTTTGATAGTAATAAGTTTTTGCTCTTTTTACTATACACAATAATAAAAAGGTAAAAGTTACTTTTCGGTTAGGTTAGCGTAATTAATAGTCGCCAAAAAATGTAGACCTTTGTTAATTTTTTTAAACACATAAAAATAGAAATTCCTTCCCTTCGGATAACAGAAAAGTACCACGGAAAATTCAGGTCTCGAGATTTTTAATTTTATAGGCTCAATATTTTTCGTTATAAAAGCTTAAAAAAATTATTAACATTTTTATAAAATCACCAAGGTTTACTTCAATGGAAAAAAATCTCTAGTAAATAGACGAATGAAATTTTCATTGAAGATAAGTTAACTGTTAACAAAGCTGAAAGTCAAAACGTAAATATTTTCCTCATTAAGACCTTATCTTTGTTTTGAACATAAACGGTTTCTGAATCGTGCAAAAAGGTTCTCCTTTCTCAAATATACACAAAGCAGAGTTTGTTAAGTGACAGAACCATTTGAACTTTTTTCCTTGCTTTGGAGATCACCTAAATATGAGGTAAACATAAACATTCAAACCGAAACATTTAAGAGACTCTGCTCCATTTGCATTGTGTATTATTATATTTCAGTTAAATTTACAAAAAAAGGTCTGGATAGCAATTACCAAATAAATTGCTTTGCTAAAGAAAATAGAACTTAATGGTTTATAGGGTGACCTCAAATAAGCCAATTAACAAGAGTAAACTATATTTTAAGTTATGAAATCAGACCGTAAAACTTACTTTCTTACGGATTTGGAATCCTGGTCATCAAACCATAATCTGGGAAATATTTTCTCAATAGTTTGGTCATGAGAGCAGTCCAAAGTTTGGAACCCTTAGTATCAATTTTACTTTTTGCATATTTTGCCATATCTAAGAGAACTTTTTAAGTGAATCGAAAAACTTTTAGATATACGTAATTATAAGATTCGCTTATTCAAAGATGATACCATGCAAAAAATAATTATATATTTTATTTAATAGTGGAAAAAATTTTGAATAATAAAGTATACACATTTTTAGATAATTTTAAAGAAAGTAATTTTATATGGCAAAATATAAAATTTAGATGAAATCGGTCTAATGGTTTCGGAGAAACTAAATTTAAAAGTCATATATAATTTTCTTACTTATACTAAATTTGTATAGCTTAACATTTAAAATATTGAGCTAATTTATACATGTTATATTAAAAAAAACCAAAACTCTTAGTAACCGAAGGTAAAATAATAAAAAACAACATATTCTTAATAACATATCTTTTAATATCAAGTATAAGAAATATCAGCACCATTTTTTTTTTTTTTTTTGCTTTTACAACATCACACAACTTTTTTTCTTTCAGAAGCTACAGCTAGACATAGAAATAACACTCTACAGAAATTGAAGACAAAAAATAAGCACAAACATAACTATTAATGATTTTATAAATCTCATTACATTTTTTCAAATGGTTTATAAATGGAATTGAAATCACTGATGTAATTTAAAGTAGTGTTTGTAGCATAAAATATAACATGGAAAAAAATACTTGATGAATCTTCTCTTAATAAATAATAGTTTTAAACATGTTAAGAGAAAAATTATTTTGGAAGAAACAACAATAAAACATTGAGGGAGAAAATCCCCATTCATAGTTTAAACAAACACACATGCTTTTTTAAAAAATTGTTGAAATAAGTTTGATAAAAAAATATAAATTTCCTTATGGATTTTTTTTTTTTGTTGGATGGAAAGTGGAATATCCCTACTTTTAGGAAAATATTCAACGATCAGTATGCTTTGTGAAGATTATGTTATTTTTCTTCAATTAAAGAAAATTTACAGCCAAGTCAGTAATACTTCTGCAGCAAGAAAAACAAAGCATATTTAATTTCATTTAAGGAAGAATTAATGACCATAATAGTAGGAAATAGTGCTGAAGAATTGCTTTATTATTAACAACATTCCATTCAAACACTTTAACAGAAATAATAATTTTAAAGTAAAGGTATTTTTCAAGAAGAAAGAACTATTAATACAGTTTATTCACTAAAAAAACATACATTTGTATACAGCAATTTATAAAAAAATAAAACATTTATAAAAAATACCATTTGAAAGAAAAATAAAACGATCATTCAAACATTGGGAAGAATACTTCAAAAATTTAGAATATAAAATCTTGTGAATAATGCCAAATCTCTTTCTTTCATTTTTTTAAAAGAGTTTTAAAGTGAGATCCTGTGCTTTCAAAAAGAATAAAAATAATAACACTATCATTCATGAAAAAATTAGTATTTTATAGTTAGTACAACATAATAATCAGTTGTATATTTTTTAAGACAAAACAACATATTGACCATAGCATTTCAACCCTTAGACAGGGGATGAAAACATGAAGTTTTCAATATTACTTTTTCAATCTAAATTTGATAGTACAGGGTTAACACTGAATTGTTAAAGGTAGCTATTTTATTAAGCTTCAAAAAGAAGTAATGTTTAAAATTAGAAATGCCAGAAGTTTAACAAAAAACTTCCCTCAATAAAATATTTATTAATAAAACACAAAATATTCTTAACGATTATTTTTTTCATACACAGATTGAGAAAAGCAATTTCAAAATTCAAAGTAAAACAGCTAAAATAAACAAAAATTTTTTTTTAGATAATTGTAAAAAAACCTCTTCCTTATAATTTAGGAAAGAATCAGAAATCGATAAATATATCAATGAACCATTAATATTATTTTTTCAATCATTAACACTAATTTAAAAATTATTTTAAAAACAAAAGACAGTTTTAAATAGTAGAAACATAAACAAGAAGAAAAAAAAAAGAAACATTGTCAAATTACAAGTAGTAATACAGACAAACTGCATGGAGTATTCAAAGTAAAAAAACTTTATGTTTTTAATATAATGCAGGAAATAATTATTGATGAAAAATGAGAGGCTCTTGATTAACGATTAATTATACGACTATTTTTTTTATAATAGTCATTTGAAAAATTATACATTCAAAGGCAAAATGCTACTTAAAGTATAGAAATGAAAAAAAAAAGAAACAAATACTATCTAAAATTGAGACTAAACTTTAAAAAAATAAATTATTTAAATAAACACATTTTCCAATTCAAACTTTTTTAATACTTTAGTAAAAAAGGTGATTTTTCTAATATTCAAACATCAGATCATCAAAAACACAAGAGTAATAAAAAACTTTCAGTGTAAAAAATTTTTCTTGAATATATAGATATAATTCTGAACCTTTTAAACCTTAATTTTATATATCCTTACATTTTCTAATAAACACTGTCAGAGTGAAAAAAGATAATGAAAATTATATATAAAATTACATAAAAAATTAAGTGATTTTCATGCTTTTCATACGATTATTTATTCACATACTCTATAATTTCTAAATATGTTTTCAGTCTAAAAAGCTGTATAAAATTATATAAATTTTCTTTTTATCAAAATTAAAAAAATCTGTTTTAATAATAATACCACTTTTAAATCAATCTAGAAGTTTCCAACTCAATTGATCTCCTTCTCTCTCATATAATTTACCATCTGGTGTGTGCCTGAAAATAGATATGTGTGTATTCCCATGCTGACTGCATATTCCTGATTCCGAATCTTCCTCTGTTTTATAATACATAATATCAGGATAATGGAAGGCATCACGTATAGCTTTAGCAGCTATCTCAATGGTTAACTTATCATAAAAATGTGGAGTATAACAACATGTAACACCTTTATTAGGATTAGTCGCATCAATTCTATTGGTCGAACATTTGACTGCAATAACTTTACTATTTTTATAATTAATGACTAAATGTTTTAGAGATTTCCATGCAAAATCATGATGTGACACGCCAGCAAGAGGACACACATCACTGAAACTATTAAACAAAAGCCATTTTCCGGCAGTGTCTGGTAAATTTTCAACATAGTTTGTAGAACTCACAACAAATCTTTCACAGTTTTGTTCTAATGAAGAAATATAAAGCCACTGATGTGTTGTGATTATACATGGCATGACCTCCCTATATGAAACTTGAGGAACATTTTCTTTGACTCCCGGTGCAACTTCATTTTCAAATTCAACAAGTTGCCAGTTATAGCTGTCTGAGGCACACCTTTCATAAAATTTATTTTCAATTGTATATTTATAAATGGCAACAACCTTTTTTTTGTACCTATCACACACATTACCTAGGACATTTTTCTCAGTTTTATAATACATACTTAAAGGATAAGGATAAGCTTTAAAAATTGCATCTGCAGCACGTTTCACAGCAAGTTTATCTTTGTAATTTGATGTGTAACAGCAAACGGTCCCTAGTGCACCATGTTCAGAATCTTCACTATCCTCAAAATGTGAGAACTTAGCACTAATGATACCTGTATTTTTGAAATCTTTTACTAAAGCTTTGGCAACATTCCAAGCATAGTTATGATGTGATGGACCACCTAAATCACAATGTTCAGTGTTGGAAAACAGAAGCCACTTCCCTGCATTTTCTGGTAAGCCTTGCATTTTATCAGTCTGCTCTTCAATGAATCTAATTCCAGCTACCTTCACTTTACTATTCAGTGGGTCAGTTGTTGTAAAATAATACTGCATATGGCACGGAGAACTCAATGAAGAACTTGGACGAGCAACCTCAGTCGATGTTTCTTTTACCTTAATATTAAATAATTATTTAATTAATAAATTAAATAAACATGGCTAAAAAGTAAAGTTGTTACTATTTCAAAATCATGAAAATTTTTACCTAATTTTAAAACGTTAACAGATGTAGTATAAAGATAGTGACTGAAAGCATATAAGAATGTAGAAACTTATAAATCAAAACATATTCATTGCAATAATAATTATATAAAAATCAAAATAAGTTTGTTTTGTGCTTTCAGTGTTTCCAAAAGCAACAATATTATATGCGTAAAGTGAGTAACTCATCCAAGTGAGTAACTCATCCTCGCGGTATTATAACACTTCGATCTTGAGACCTTAACTCAATCGTACATAGTTTAATTTGAAACTCAATTTTTTAAAAAGATTAAACTTATACAACAGTCTTAAATATTTAATTGCCAATGGCAAGTTAACAAATGTAAATTTTACACTCTGTTATATTTCAATGCTAAAAAAATAGAATTTTTTTTCATAATATGCTATGTTGTTCTTATGATAAATATACAATCCTCTTCACTAAGTAAATTAAAGACGAAGATTAATTATGTTTATTACCCCATAATGAATAAAGAATAGTATTTATTAAAATTAAGTGAAAAATAAGCCAAAATAATATTAGTAAATAAATGAGGAAAGCAGAGAAATTAAGAACTAAAAAATTATATTAAAAATTAATTTTTCCAGAATTATTAAATTTTGAAAAAACTCTGAAAGGGTAAAAATTATTATTTTATTGATAAAGAATTACGCAATCAGTAAAACTGCCCAACATAAATTATATAAATGTGATAATTCAAGACTTAAATTAAAGTTTTCTTGTGCAGACACTTTCAGTTTTTCCATTTGAATATCACACAGTTAAATTTCATACCACACATAGAACAATAAAATTAGTAGAACAAATTATTTTTATATGCATGGAATTCAGTGCAAAAAACTATTTTCCGTTACTATTTTGTAAACTACAAAAATATTTATGTAGTTCATTTGATATTTTTTGTCCTTTTCATTCGTCCACAATTTTCAAATATTTTTTAATTGAAAAAATATATTACCCTACATTTTTCCTGCTCTTTTGAAATTGTATTCATTCAAAGAGAGAAGAAAAGATAGTCATTGTTAACAATTTAGTAATAATTTTTTTTAATAAGCCTTTGACAAGTATTTAAAATGATTTACTTATTTATAAGAATAAAATTATGTTCATGTGTAAATAATATAGAAAAGAGTTATTAATTTATCTTATTATGCCTATTTTCATCATATTTGTAAATATTTCTAATTATCATAAAAGTTCTAATCTATATTCTACCATAAATTAATAAAATTTAATTAAATAACAAAAAAGGAGAAAATAAATAAATAGTGTTTGTTCCCATAATGGGAGCATTGGAGCCAAGTTACTATTTGAGGTTGTTAAGTTTTAATTTTACTTGTAAATACCATTTAGTTGCATGGCACAAAAGTTTAAAAATATTTACCTCTTTCGAATTGCTTCCCTTTTCAATTTTAACATCTGAGTTTTTTGAGCTCTTATGAGGCATTACTGCTAATGGAAGTCGTTTTGTTGTCTTCTTTCTTGAAGTATGTTTTATCCTAGCCATAGTGTTTTCAACAGTAGGCACACACTGGAAAACAAAATCAAGCTGTCAATGAATTAAATAAAAACATCAAAATCAATTGATTGAAGCTAGTGGTAAGTTTAAGCAATTATAAAAAAATTTTCTTTCTTTTCAATAGATTTGAAAAAGTGGAAACTTAAAAAAAAAACTCGTGTTTACTGAAAAAATATTTTTGTATTAACAAAAAATAATTTTTCTTTCCAACATCGTATTTTACAACTTAAAAGTTATTTTCAACATAATCATTTACAGAAATGATATAAAACAGCGTATGTTTCCATTTCCATTATTCTTCCAGTTAAACAATAAGTAATTTTGTAATCATAAAAAATTAACAATTAAAAATTTTTTAGAATGCTACATAGGAAAAATAACTCCAATCCTTGAAGTTTTAATTAAATTATTCAGTTAACGAAAAGAAAAAAAAATTTGATTTTACTCCAAAACTATAATGAAAAAATTTCATTTCTTTTCAATTAAAATATATCCTGATTTTTTTACATGGTGATCATAAGTACAAAAGTAGATATTAAACAAAGTTGAAGACAAAAATATAATTTTGTTTATTTATTTTTAACGTTTCAGTTTGTTATTTAAAACACGATTAATTTGTTTTATGCATATTTTTTTATTTACTTAAAATTTGTATTACAATGCTTTAGTACATCTGCTTCTTCAATTACAAAATTATTAAATTGTGTACCTAAAGCCCATTATGCAGCTAATGAACTACAACAAAAACTAAAAATGCAAAGGACTCAAGCAAAAGAAAATGTATTTATTCAATCATAAACTAATTCTTAAGATAATTAGAGCAATATATAAACTAGAATAGAAAGACCAAAACTTTTAATTGATGGGTATCAGTTTCATTGAAAAGGCAGATGATGAACAATGCTGTTTCTGCTTGCAATTTAAATAAGTTAGGACAGTATTTCATTTTAAATACAGAAATAAAATTTATTTCTAAATGTTATTGCCTTTAATGCATATAGAATCGGCATACATATTTTCAGAAAGATTTTTGCATCAGGTAGTCACCAAATTTTAGAGAAAGCTAGACAAGGGCACGTGATAGATTAAAAATAAATAAATAAAAATGAAAAGAGAAATACAGAATTGAGTAAAACAAATTGGTTAATTACAAATATTCAAAATGTTAGGCTCATTTTTAGCTTTTTACTGGAACTGCTCATTAATCCCCAAACTTTGATACCTATTTTAATGCAGTTACTGACATGAAAATTATATAGCACAGAATTATACATAGCAATTTTTAGATCAGTCTATTTCTATTAAAACGTTTCCCATTCAAAAGTCTAACTCTATAAGTAAATTCTTTGGTATATAAATTGAAAATTACATCTTTCATGTCATTCTCAAGCTCTGTTTGGATGCTTTAATATTTACTCTTTGTAACTATATAAACATTTGGTAATTTGGTTCAGGTTTCGCCGTGTCACTTGAAATGATGGAATCACGATTTGTACTACAGTCGACTCGCGTTATAACGACCTTGTGATAGAACGACCAACATGATATAACAACCCTGTGAAGGAGTCCCAATTCACATCCATAAAAGATAACGTTATTTTACTCTTGCTATAACGACCGTAAAAAAGGTCAACTCTTAATATAACGACCCTCTCTGAATTTGAACACCGCTCGTTTCTAACTTCCTATTGGAAAGTGGGGTCGAATGGTTGACCTTGAACAAGCACACCTCTGTTCCAGCACACCACAAATTCTTAATTGTTAACAGTTGTAATTCAATTGTTAAAATGTCATTATGTTTTATTAATGTATGTATCCCATCCTTTTTCGGCTTATAACATGTATACCACAAATAGTCTAAGCATGCATTATGATGTTTAAAACCATTATGTGACCGATTTTCAAAGGAAATTTGCTCATTTTGATATAGAGACCATTTGATATAACAATCAGATTGGGACAGTCCCGATGGGGTCGTTATAACGCGAGTCAACTGTATTTAAAAGTAGGGTGACCTGGGGTAATTCCTGATCAAAAAAGGCAAACATTTATTTTGTAAGAAAGCTATTCAAGATAGAATTATAATATTTACTGGAAGTTTGAGGCCATATGAGATGAGTCTTAGGCTACTTTGCTTTGTTTGAAAATCTAATTAGAATTTAAAATATTTTAAATTTTTAGAGATCAGGAATTACCCCTTCTCTTGATCCTTTCTGGGATAATTACTGATCACCAGTTTTAATCATAAAGGGGTTGTTTAAAAATAATTATACAGTGGTCATTAACAAATAAGACATCAAGATCAAACAAATAAACCAAAAATACATGTTTAAGCAGCTAATAAAATGATTTATTTAAAAAGCAAAAATAAAGGTTAGCACTTTAAATTTTCCAAAAATCTTTGTATCGTGCTATACATTTTAGGCAAGCAGCCAACTCCTTCTCATGTTCTGCTGGAATATGAGAAAGAGTTCCCACATGGGTTACTTTTGCTGGATTTTGTAACTTCATTGAGGGAGAGTGTAAAGTTAAGTAAGGTATGTCAACAGCTCTGGCAGCAGCTCTCGCGCTGAAATTTTGATTTTCAATCATTAAAAGAAATTTACTAATTAAGAAATTTTAATTACTAGAACTAATTTTACTTTCTAGAAGCTTTGTATCCTTTTTAGGCTTATAATTTCTCATTATATTTATATTAGGCTAATTTATAAACTTAAAAATTGTTCTAAATATGTACACACATAAAATTAAGATAGAAGCAAGGTAAGACAAATCGGTACACATTTGTCTAGCATACGGTTAAAAACAAATTTTGTGATTAAATTGAGTTAAAATATATTTTATAGTTGTTCCACTTGAAAAATATGAACTGTTACTTAAGAAAAGACAATTAGCTATTTATGAAAAGAAATGACAATGATCAGGAATTACCCCATCTGTAGGGGGCAACATTTGATATAGTTTCCTATAATCAATTATAATGTTTAAAACAACAAAACAAGAGCTTATACTATTTTCAGATCAAAGAAAGTAACTCAAACTATTTATTATTAAGAGAAGGAGGGAGATCTTTGCAGAAATGTGCACTTTTTGAAACCCACCTTTGAAATGGAAAATACAGAAAGCAGTTTAAGGATACTTATTTTGTTAGATTAAACAAGAAACTATTATTAAGTAAATGTAGTTATACCTTAGTAAAGTGTACAAGCATTTCTTGTTCATGTCTCAAATTTAGAAAAAAATTATTTTTTTAAAATAAAACTTAGATTATCATTATTTACCCCAGAAACAGACTGATCATGAATTACCCCGGGTCACCCTAGGTTTTTTTTTTTTCCTTCCAGTTATTAACTCAAGTCACATATAAGCTTTTATTTTTTTTTTGTTTCCCTCCCAGATATTTGAAGATGGTTTGTAAACAAAGATGAATGAAATGGTAGAAAATTTCAATTGTCTCTTATATTCCTCAATTCCTTGTAGATAGATCACTTGGAATTTCATTGTATAAAATATTTTTAGTGCCGTCAAAATTTATTGTTATTTAATGTAAACATCAGATAGATTTATTGTCCAAGGCTACTAGCATCCTCAGGAAATACTAGAGACGATATATAAATAGAGATTTAAATTTTGGTAACATAACAATCTATATACAAAAGTCAATATTTGTTTAATAATATAATCACTTTGAAAAATCCTGACAAAATAAATGTCGCCACAAACCTATAGTTTTTTCACAGAAAATAAGCAACTATTTTTTAAAATTTACAATATGTTTTAATCAGTTTATAATCAATATGATTATCTACCTAAAAAACTTGGAAAATCAAAAATGTTAAATCAGCTTTAGTTTTCTTTAAATTTGAATTTTATCAACATGGTACGTTTTAAGAAGACAATTTCTGCTAAGCATTTCAATTGTCATTGTTTGGTGAACTATATTTTAGGAATAATTCAATTCAAATTCAAAACACAAATCCTTCACAAGTAAATACATTATTATTAAAATTTATATATTAATGCATCCTATTTTTTAAAGAAAAGAAATTTCTACTGAATAAAGGGAATTTTCTTTTAAAGTAAGAATTAATTTGAGGTTCTTTAAAACGCAAAAATAGGCAGCAAAAGACGTGTCAATTCAAACAATCGCACGTTTTCAAATTTCAAAGTCTCTATTATCAAAATAAACACTAATCATTTAGTAAAAAAGTGATTTGCAAATGACTGGGGACCAGTAACTACATTGTGTCTTCAAGTAAGTTGATATGACAATATTTTGTGATCCTATAGGGGTCTGTCCAGGCCAAATTTACTACCGTTCAGTGGTATCTTCGCAAATTCAACTTTAGGAAAACGGTAGTTTCACAAAAAACTTTTTCTTAAAATTTTAGTTTTGTATACCTTAAGAAACGATAAATTAATATTTGTATCATATTTTTGTGTTGATTTTTTAATATAATTTTTAATTTTCACAAGCTATGTCTAAATTTGTGGCGTAACTACCACTATAAATGTTAAATACCAATTCCCTAGTATATAACACATGTTAACTTGATTCTCTCATGAGGTACCTTTTGATAGATGATAGTTGACATAATTTCTATTAATCAAAGTTTGTAATCTCTTTTGCATCTTGGCAATTGGATATGGAACTATTCCTTTAAAGGGAAGATTCCTGTATCGTGATCTGTGGCAGAAGAATTGCCAAGTCATGGCAACTTCTGGGCAGCGCCTGCAAGAATCTTAATTTTTTTTTTTTAAATCACAGAAAGGGCCATCTAGAAGGGTATAACTTGTAGGCACCCCAAGGCTTTGCCCTTCAACAGAACCATAGAGTTCCCTGAATCTGGACCGCTGATCTATAGTGCTTAAAGTTCAACTGTAGCAGACATTCATCTGATTTGAAAAATGATCCAATTCCACACAACAAGCAAAAGTCAATATACCACTTATACCTACCATTTAATTTTATAAATGGTGAATTGAGAGATAATCCACTTTTGTACTTTAATACAAAAATGATAAGTGGTACATTATATTTACCATGTTTTGTTTCGAGATTAATGACTTATTGATACAGGTAATTTTTTTAATGCGAAAGTTCTATATAGGTTTTCTCATAATTGTTCTCATACTATTATGAATTCAGGAGTTCTATATTAAAATTGTACTGATAACTCATAGATGCCTACTGCTTCAGATTGGACAAAATATTTCAAAAAACGGTCGAGAATAATAGACTAGCATTTTCATATTTTCAGTTACTTTTGCCAACTTTATACAAGGCTCAACATGGCTTAACTGAAAAAGAGAGGTGTTTTATATAAGACTTTAAATTATTTAGAAGTAGGTAGTTGTGAGTAAAAGCCCTATAAATCGAGTTCATTTAATCAAGGATCAGACTTTAAAAGACCACAACTTGAAAATATTTATCCGCTATCCAAAGCAAATAGTCATCTCTGGTAACTATCACAACTTTCATTAATAAACTAAATAATTCTGAAATTAGAAACAGTACCTATACTTTATAATTATTTTGCAATAAATTTTTCCTTTATTATACTTATAGGCAGCAAATATTTATTTTTTTTAGTTTGTCATTTTCCCTTTTTAAAAGTAGTCTGCGATATGTGAACTGTTAATATGTTTTGATTTTTTCTCTGTCTCACTATGAGGCCTCCCATGGTTAAATCTCTCAACTGACACATGTCAAAAATTTGTCAACTTAGTTAATAATATCTGAAAAAAAAGTTCTTTTTTAACCTAATATAAATCTTATTTCAAGCAGTAATACATGGTCATAGGGATCAGGGTTAATTTTTTTATATGTATTTTTCTAAGAAAAAAATAAGTAAAATAACTGATTACTTTGATTTAAATCAGATTTATTTAAATCAATTTTTTAAAAATTATTTTAAAGATAATTCAAGAAATTTTGTAATTAGTTAAATTTTACATTCATAATTATATTTAAAATATTATTAAAAATGAATCACAACAATACATTTGAAGCTATATTACGGTGAAAAATTTTTTTTTGTAGAAAACAGTTATGCATAATGCATGCAAATGCAGGCTTCAAAATTAATGAAAACGGAGTAGAAATTTATCGTTATTAAGTACTGTCAACAGGCTAAAATGAATTTACAAAATTAATTTTGCAAATCTTTTCTTCAAAATTATATTGAAATGATGAAATAAATTATCTAAAGCCTTAAACATCAATTGTAACTTCACAAATATTTAAACATGCAATAACTTAAATTACCCGCTTATTAAAAATAAATCAAACTCTATGAAATGGCAATCAGAATTTATCTTTAAACTACTTTTTTTTTATTTTGTGTAAATTTTCTATTAAAACTGTACATATTTTAAGATTTAGGAATGCATTTGGATCATTAAAATAAAATTTTGTTTCTAAAATTGCATTTTGAACCTAGAAAGGATTTTCATTATAATCATGTTCTTGGCACACAAAAAAAGAAAAAAATCAATGCACAATAATCAATTTTTACTTTGTTTTTTATTTGTATTTTGAAAAATTCAAAAATGTATTTTTGACTAATGTTGTAATTTTACTATTACTATCAATTTTCCTAAAATTACTTCATTGCACTGTATTTTTATCAAGGTTGGCAAGTTTCTGCCGAGGTGGTTAAAACCACTGGTAGAAACCGGTTAGAACTGGCATGGGAGAAACCCATTTCTGCCACATTTGTGGATTGACATACAATGTATAATTCATAGAAAAAACAATTAAATGTTATACAAAGTTCAATTTATTTAAAAAATTATCACCATTCAAAATCAAATACAGTACAGAACCCGTTACCCGGAAATCAGTAAACCGGAAAACCAAAAAACCGGAACGAAATTCGTTAAATTTTCCCGCCATTTTTTTTTTAAAAAAATGTTTGTTTCCTCATAAGATTTTAGGATTTTTCTTTCGTTTTTGAAAGATGTTTACCTTACCATCATTTTGGAAATAATCATTAGTGTATTACTTTGTTTTTTCAAGATTATTTCCAAATATTTTTTTTTCTTTAGTTGGGTTTAACAATAAAAAAACGGCTTTTTGTAGCGATTCAGAAAACCGGAAAAATCAGTTATCCGGAATAGCGATGGTCCTGATCATTCCGGATAATCGGTTCCCTACTGTATTACATTGTTTGCACTCTGCAGTAATCTATAACAAAAGACAAGTTTTTATGCAGTTTCTAAACCTAAACAATTTCTCAATTTGCTATGCACAAACGAGAAATTTGAGAAGATTCTCTCAAGTTCAGCAGAACTAGCAGGCATTGCCATCAAGGAACCAGCAAGATTTATGAAACTTTCATCTATTGCATATTTTTTAAAACTGGACCACCATGTAGCAGTCTAACCAATAATATTGCCTCTTACATTCAGCAAAGACTAAAACTGTTACTGTTATAATAATTGGATTGTTGCCATGCAAATTATGTCTTGAAAAGAAAAAAAAAATATTTGAAAATAGCTCTATTCAGTTATGTTATGAGTTAAATGATAATAATTATTGAATTTCAGAGTTTAATGTAATAAACTAAAATCTAGTATTTATATTTATTATTACATTACTTTATTCTTTATTTCATATAAATATTTGATATACTGCACTCTTTATATTTAGCATAAAAAAAATAATATATATTTACAAACAATGAATTAGAAAGTTTGTTGCAGTTACATGGAGTTACATTTTTCAGTTTACTTAAACAAAATGTCATTAAGCAATTACTAGAACTAGTATNAAACCTAAACAATTTTTCAATTCGCCTATGCACGAACGAGAAATTTGAGAAGATTCTCTCAAGTCCAGCAGAACTAGCAAGCATTGCCATCAAGGAACAAGCAAGATTTGTGAAACTTTCATCTATTGCATATTTTTTAAAACAGGACCACCATGTAGCAGTCTAACCAATAATATTGCCTCTTACATACAGCAAAGACTAAAACTGTTACTGTTATAATGATTGGATTGTTGCCATGCAAATTATGTCTTGAAAAGAAAAGAAAAATATTTGAAAATAGCTCTATTCAGTTATGTTAAGAGTTAAATGATAATAATTACTGAATTTCAGAGTTTAATGTAATAAACTAAAATCTAGTATTTATATTTATTATTACATTACTTTATTCTTTATTTCATATAAATATTTGATATACTGCACTCTTTTAATTTAATATAAACAAAATAATATATATTTACAAACAATGAATTAAAAAGTTTGTTACAGTTACTTAGAGTTACATTTTTCAGTTTACTTAAACGCAATGTCATTAAGCAATTACTAGAACTAGTATAAACGTTTTTTTAGTTTCTGCCAGTTTTTACCGGTTATAACCAGTTTCTGCCGGCAAAAAGCCAACCCTGATTTTTATATGCCATTTTATGTCAACTTGTCTATTTATTATTTTTTTTATAGGTTAAAAATTGTGTAAAGTGATAAAAACTTGCAACTTGATATTTGGTTCTTTTGTAAAGATTCCTTTTCCAATTCTCTCCCAAGTCCTGTGACTGAAGGCAGATATTTCTATTAACTTTGCTGAAGGACATTGAGGTTTGTGTATTACAGAAAGTTTAGTACTGTTTTAATAAAACTAAAAAATAGAATCTGATTAAATAGTTGGATTGATTCTTTAGCCGAACATAACTCTTAAGAAATCATTCATAATGCTACAGAACAGTAAATTAGTTCCTTCTGAAGTTCTAACTCATCCATGGCTTTATGTGTCAACTCCACATAAATCTAGTAGCGATTCTGATGACAAAACAGTGTGTGACTTAGATACAGTTGGGAAATGGTTATTATTTCATAAAACTCAAGTTGAAGTTGGTGAGAAATTATCACCTCATGATAAAGCTTGGCAAAGTATACAAGCTTTGGTTATAGATCCTTCTAATACAGATATTATTAGTGCTAAGTCTTCTACAAATTGGCAAGGTAGTTATGCAGGTGGCGCCACTCCCAATGGAGTTATCTGCTGCTATACAGCTGATTACAGAGACAAGGCAAGTGTTAAGAGAGCTGCTGATGCTATTCGTAAAGTTTATTCATATCCGTGTAATATGTTTTATAAAACCGATGAAGCTACATATGCTGGTGCGTACAGAAATCAAGGCAACAAAGCTGTTTCAAGGTACAAACATTCACTGGATAGTCAGTTATATGAAAGAGACACAAAATCTAAATGGACTCTTGTTGATTTATAACTTTTGTTTATTTTAATAAATGAAATGGATTTTTAATGTTGCACTAATTCTTTAAATATTTTAAATAATTTTACTTTTATAACTTATATTCAGGGTATCTGCGCACCTGGAAAGTCATGAATTTGTGTATGGAACAAAAATTTTTATGAAATGTTGTGATTTTAACAATTTTTTAAAATAGAATTTACCCCTCCCCCCAATTTCATAGTGTTCAGAATATCTGAATTTGTAACAAAATCCCCAGTCACAGTCATATTTGATTAATGGAAAAATGAAACTTCTGTGATTTCAGAATTTTTATTATTATTTATTTATTTTTTATTTTATCAAATTAAAATTTTAGCTGAAGCAAGTCAGTCATTGGCGAACTTTTTAATTCCGAAATGAGAACAGAAAGAACAGGAGTATTTCTTTCCTTTCCGATGAACACGAAAAGTATCTGTAGAATGTAATTCTGCAGAAAAAAAGAGAAAAAAAATTATTTGCCTTTGTATTTTTTTCAGCTATTTTATTGCTACAACTCTTTCTTAACTCTGTTTTATATTTAAAATCTTTAAATATGAAGATGCAAAGTATAACAGTTTAGGTTATACATATCATTTCAATGAATGTTATTATAATACTTTTTTAAATTTATTGCTGTGTTTTTGTCACAGAAAATAGTAACTTTGTTAAGTCATGAAAAATTCTTGGAATTAGTCATGGAAAGTCATGCATTTGAAAATCTGAAATGTAGCAGATACCCTGTATATTGTAAATTGGACAATTACAATATACAGTATAATTGCTATCAGGTACAGTACAATTTGGGTGCTAAAATTATTGAAAAATGAGAATTAAATTAAGACTTATTACGTAATTATTAAATTAAGACTTATTACATAAATTCATTTGTTAATGTCATGTAACATTAAATTCCTTTCCTTACAAATAGTTTCGGAAATAATTTAATTCAAATACTTATCACTAGAATTCAATAATTGTTTGTTGATCCAATTCATTATTTAACTTTGGTTCAAAGGTAATACTTGTAATTAAAAAAGTTCAGAAATGAAAAAATTATTAACTGAACTCTTTATTCTCTAATTGATTTCGAAGAATTATTAATTTTAAAATTGTAAAATGCAATTTTTTCATGGTTTTGCCTTTAAAAAGATTAAAAACTCATTCATTGCAACATTGAAGTGGTACAACTAAATAAGGAAAAATACTTCAACAAAATTTTTTTTTTTAATAAACCATGTAACAATTGTTAGAAGTGATTACATTTTCATTGTACTTTTTATGTGTTCTTGAATTCTTAGAGTAACAAGTGTAAAATTTGTTATTTTTTTCTTTTGTTGTAATAAATTTTATAAAGCAGAAAGAAATCCTACTTTTAGTGATAATTGAGATTAAACCCAATGGTAATAGTCTCAGAGATGCCAACTTGCTCCGGGCAGCAAATATATATTTTAAAGTGGTAGTTTATCAATTGTGATTCTTGGTTTAATAAATTCAATTCAGTAGATTTTTATCCACCACTATTTCTAAATAATTCGTAGGCTTATATAATTCACCACTTTATTGTATTAGTGTACTGTCATGCTATAGGGTGACCTGGGGTAATTCCTGATCAAAAAACGCAAACATCTATTTTAGGAAAAAACTATTCAAAATAGAATTTTAATATTTACTGGAAGTTTGAGGGTATATGAGATGAGTCCTATGCCAGCTTCTTTTGTTTGAAAATCTAATTAGAATTTAAAATATTTTAAATTTTTAGTGATCAGGAATTACCCCTGGTCTTGATCATTTCTGGGGAAATTCCTGATCACTTCTGGGGTAATAACTGATCACCAGTTTTTATTGTATAGGGGCTGTTTGAAAATAATTATATAATGGTAATTAACAAATAAGACATCAAAATAAAAAAAAAATAAACCAAATAATTATGTTTAAGCAGCTAATAAAACAATTTATTTAAAAGCATGAAGAACGATTAACGCTTTAAATTTTCAAAAATCTTTACATTTTGCCATACATTTTAGGCAATCAGCCAACTCATTCTCATATTCTTCTGAAATATAAGAGAGTTTCCACATGGGTTACTTTTGCTGGATTTTTTAACTTCATTAAGGGAAAGTGTAAAGTTAAGTAAGGTAAGCCAACAGCTCTGGCAGCAGCTCTCACACTGAAATTTTCATTTTCAATCATTAAAAGAAATTCACTAATTTTGTTTTCTAGAAGCTTAGTATCCTTTTTAGGCTTATAATTTCTCACCATATTTATACTAGGCTAATTTATAAACTTAAAAATTATTCTAACAATGTACACACATAAAATTAAGATAGAAGCAAGGTAAGACAAACCAGAAATGGTGCAAATCAGAATACAGTCTTGTATACAGTTAAAAACAAATTTTGTGATGACAGTTAAAATATATTTTATAGTTGTTCCACTTAATAAATATGAACTGTTATTTAAGAAAAGACAATTAGCTATTTATAAGCTATTTTATATACTATTTATAAGAAGAAATGACAATGATCAGGAATTACCCCAGTGATCAATAATTACCCCATCTGTAGGGGGCAACATTTGATATAGTTTCCTATAATCAATTATAATGTTTACAGTAGATGTGAAACAATTAAACAAAAGCTTACACTACTTTTATATCAAAGAAAAAGAAAGTAACTCAAAATATTTATTATTAAGAGAAGGAGGGGGATCTTTGCAGAAATGTGCACATTTTGAAACCCATCTTTGAAATGGAAAATACAGAAAGCAGTTTAAAAGATACTTATTTTGTTAGATTAAACAAAAAATTATTATTAAGTAAATGTAGTTATACTTTAGTAAAGTGTACAAGCATTCTTGTCCATGTCTCAAATTTAAAAAAAAAAAAAATTTTTTTTTAAATAAAACTTAGGGGATTATTATTTACCCCAGAAACAGAGTGATCGGGAATTACCCCGGGTCACCCTACCTTTTAAAAAGCAATCAAAAATAGTCTAATATTTGCAAAATTTACTTTGTAGTTATATACCATTTTTTTAAAAATTATTTTGGCATGTCTTGAGCAGTTTGCATTGGTGTAGTCTTTTATTACAATACTAAATATTATTTACTATTCGATATCTTATACTTTTTATTACAATACGATACGGTAATTAATACACATTTGCAAAACGATGCTGAAATAGGTAAAGTGTGTTAAGTAAAACTTAAAAAGTTGTTTATCTGTTTCAAAAATGACTTAGAACTTTTACTTTATAATTTTTTTAAGCAAAATAATAATGAAGAAAAATTTTGGCTTTTATATCCATGTATGACCTAGTCCCCAAGAAAATTGCCTACTAATATTTGTTATGTGTATTAATGAGATATATTTCATGATGGGGTTGGATTTGTCATACCTGTGACGAATATGTGGCATGGAAAATGTGCATATTTTTAATTGACATGCATGCTTACGTTTGCATTATTACAAGTACTACAAAACTTTCTAGCAATATTACTTTTTTGACTTATAGAATTTTTTTGTGATATGTTTTATGATTGTAAAGTATAATTTTTATCACTGCAAAAATAGAATTATATTGAATAAGATACTCCACTACCTAACTGAATATTATTACCTAACTTTTATTTTCTTTAATTTTTCATATTCATAGACAAAAATTATTTTAAAATTCTTTAATCTCTGATTTAAAAAACCCCATATAAAATAGAAAATATTGAATAATTAGTGTTTTTGTAATTATTCAAAATTTTTATTTAATCATCATTTGATTATTCTTTAGGATTATAATAGTTTTAGATAAACAAGTTTTTTCAATTTAGATTATAAATTTTATTTTCACATTTCAATACTCTTTTATTCATAGCATTGTTTATTTTTCTTTAGGATTTAATACCAATCATGTTTGCTTGTGATGCAGGTGTACCATCCCGAGTAGACAACCTACGATGGTTGCATGTCACGTCTTCTAATCTAGTGAATACAACAAATAGTATAGCTGGAGAATTCGTCAATAAAATCTCTCATTGTGTTTCTAGCGAGTCCTCAAAAGATTCATTTAACCAAACTGCCGAAGATGAATCAAGGCAACGAAAACCAAAAACAGTTAACGAAGCTTCCCAAAATGCCACATGTAAGAGTTATTCCCAAGAGAAAATTAATAAAGCCACTCAAGGTAATTCAAGTAAGTGTTTACAAGAGAAAACTAATGAAGTTACTTACAATGATCCAAGCCAATATTTAGAAGAAACAATCAATCAAATTTTTGATGAAACCTCAAGTCAGTTTTCGCAAGATCTAGTTCACAAATCTCCTCAATATACTTCAAGTCAGTATTCTCAAGAAACAATCAGTAAAATTTTTGAAGATCCTTCATTCGAAACTTTCGAAGAAACTTTGCCATCTCAACCTTCCAAGAGAAGGCGCAATTCAGTAGAGCCAAGGAATGATACTTTTGAATATACTTCACTCCAAATTTCACCAGAAAATTTTAAAGATGCATCGATCCAAATTTCAGCAAAAACTTCTGAAGATGCTTCAATCCATATTTCACAAGAAACATTAAGCAAAATATTTGAGGATGACTCATTTGAACCGTCTGATAGCTCAAAGACTTCTTCGGTTGAAGATTCTGTGTCATCTAATGCACGTCCTCATGAACCTTTTGACTCAGATGAGTCTGAAAGTGATTCAGAGTATGGATCAGTTCCTCGTCTAAGATGGAAGACATCTACCACAGTGGGAAAGTGGCTTTTATTTAACGACACTGAAATTAATCCTATTGATAAGTTATCTGTTCATGATAGAGCCTGGGAAAAAATAAAATCTATTGTAACAGACCCTAATAACATTGATATTATTAGTGCTAAATGTTCAACGAATTTCTCCCGTCGATATGCGGAATATGCTTCATCAACAGGAGTTACTTGTTGTTACACTAGAGATTACAGAGACAAGATGAGTGTAAAAAGAGCGGCAGATATGATTCGTAATACCCTCTTTTTCACATGTTGCATATACTACAAAACGGATGATGCTACATCTGCTGGAGCATATCAGCACTTTGGGAATACTGCTATATCAATGTATATGCATACTAATGGGAATAAAATGTATGAGCGAGATGAGAATGGAAAGTGGAAACTGTTTAGTTTGTAAATATTTTATGGAACTAGTTTTGTTCCTTTTGTCCATATTTAAGAAATTAATAGGCCATAACTCCATTCTAAAATAGCACTATCCATGCAATTGTGATTTGCCTGAACCAAAAAGGTTGGATTTCTACCCTGTTGATCCGCGGAAGGTGTTTTATTTCCCTGCACTGTTTTGGACGCCTTCGATGCTATTTGATTTCTCTACAGTACACGACAGCAACAACTATAGATCATGCAGCTTAGATTTTTTTATGTGTTATTTGTAAGCGTTAGCCATGCAATAGCTTGTTAAAAAGAGCTTCGCTATCAAAATACTGCAATCTTTTAGTTTCTCCGAGCTTACCTATGACACGGAAAAATGTAAGAATACGGACGTATAATGGTATTTTTCAAATTATATACTAGTACCAATGCTTTTCATTCGCTGTAGGTTCCTAATATTCTAGATTTTCAACTATTGCCGCCGATCTACAGCGACGTGGATCAATTAATTACTTAAACAAATGTTTTAATTATAATAAACAGTGAATAGCCTAGTTAAAAAAAAACTTTTTCCATCTAACACTTAAATAATAACTTGGGCAAATATTTTTTGTCAAGTTTTATTTCGTAAGGATTGTATCGTATAAATTCGGAATATGTCTAATATTGCCTAAGTTATATATTGTCAAAATCGTAGGTTATTATCAAACAGTGTTAGATCTAGTGTATTTTAGAAAATGAGGATTTATTTTTAAACTTTTTATTTCTTAAGAGGGACTTGTGTTCACTCTTCTCCATGTTAACAGTGTCCTTCAGAGAGATCAGTCTGATTGCAGTTGCTTTCTGCTGTGGACTTGCCAATATTGTAAGAAAATCAAATTAGATGGGTTACTCACTTGAATTATCTGATGAAGAGTTATGTTTATTATGAAATTAATTTTGTTAGTTGAAAAATATTTCGATGCTTTGCAAGGTAAAATTTTTGAACCGAAAATAGATTCTCAAACTAAGTATATATTTGGGGGGTGGGGGAGTCACATAATTTTGATCTTATGTGCGCATGTTATCCAAGAATGACCGAAAGAGCTATAATGCCCCGCTTTTCTTTTATCTGTGTCGACTTCTCTTTGCAAATCAGGCTTTTTACCTCTGTTACAAATAAAAACTGCTCTACAGCCCTGCATTGAACTTAGTAAAGAAAGATAGTTGTACCTTGGACAAGTGTTATCAATTGCGCCACCCAGTGGAGAATTTTACATTCATCATATGTAGTTAATATGTGTGACGTCAGATACTATTGGCTGTGTTGGTGACCATTTCACGTAAGGCTCCTATACTATCAGAGCTGACCTATCAAGCAATACTGGAGCAAACAAGTTCGCAAGTTAACGTTATGTTAGCATCGTGCTTATGTTACCTCTTTGCTCCAAAAATAGTTGATAAGTCGGCCTGTCTAAATCAGGGGCTCTAATTTCACGTTTTCCAAGCACGTGCTAGAGAACGTTTTTGAGATTTCTCAGTTGCTGAGTAGATTTTTGGAAAGTAAAATCTAGTAGATAAGTACCAGAATTTCATTCTTTATAAAATAAAGTACCATTTTCTATAAAAAATTTGTTTTTCCTTAGACTTAACAAAATTAAATAAGCATTCTACCCTCTAGGCAAACAACAGCTCTACTGTGGAATTTAACAATTTTAAATCTCTTTACACGTTTTCTTATTTAGTTGCGTTTTTGAGATTTCTCAGTTGCTGAGTAAATTTTTGGAAAGTAAAGTCTAGTAGATAAGTACCAGAATTTCATTCTTTATAAAATAAAGTACCATTTTCTATAAAAAAATTTTTTTTCCTTAGACTTTACGAAATTAAATAAGCATTCTACCCTCTAGGCAAACAACAGCTCTACTGTGGAATTTAACAATTTTAAGTCTCTTTACACGTTTTCTTATTTTAGTTGCCTAAGGTAGCAATCCTAATTTTTTTTTTTAATGGTTAAGGAACTCTACATAAGGAAGTCTTCTTTCGGTGGAACCAATGACCTTTTGAATAAAGTTTATAAAGACAATCGGGAGGGTATTATCTATAAAAGATTACTAATTATTTAATTAGAGGAATGAAATTTTTACATCTTTTTTATCTGTAATGACATTAAATTGGGTTTTATGTCTGATAGATGAATTCGTACTCCTAAAGCTGTATCTTACTTAAGTTCTGAAATTTGTTTTTGGAGTAGACATATAGACTGTAAATGAAACAAGCCGAATGTAGCTTCCGTTGAAATGACGGCAAAAAAAAGAAAAAAAAGAGCTGCTGTAAACATTGAAAATAATTTCCTGGAAAACATTTTTACTAACGAATTTATTTATTTTTAATTTTAAAAACGTGACGGACTTGTTCTTTTCATAATTCAATATCTTTATAATTAGCATTTTTCATTTAAGTTATTTTATAAAGTCAACCAAAGTATTAAATAAATAATGGATTGCATCTCTAATTATAAGTACAAGTTTCAAAAATTAGTACTAGTTTAAAAAAAAACAAAGCGATTGCTCTTGGAACCTTTTTAACCCTTCCATGGAACCCTAGGGCTCCCTATAACATCATTTCGTAACCGCTCGCCTGTGGGTCTCATTTCTGGGATGAAGAAGTGGAGTGTCTCTTAGCGACCACAGATGTTTCGTATCATCCTGCATCTAGTATAGCCTAAAATAAATGTGAGTTTGTTTTTATATTGAACCAATCTCCGTATTGTAACTTCAGTCCATTCAAGTGTGTGTGTGCAACAGGTCTTGGCAGCATATACATAGTGGTAGTGAACCTCAGTAGTGGAGAACTTCATAGCAACTTAAAATTATTTTCTTATTAAAACTATGCAATTTCAAAATATTTCAATAAAATTATTTTTTGGTATTACGTTTATGATTGATTCGATTTATTTATCTCATGCAAGTTACAAGAAAAATAAGTTTACATTGTGGGAATATCCATATTCAATCAACTTACAAGTTTTGATGAAATTAACTTAAAATGTATGTTATCGAGGGTATTAAGGTGTGACTTCTAATGGTTCAAGCCTTATGAGCTATGCTAATGGAGGCCTACCTAACTTCCATTTCATGCCATGTTGCGTCTTGGACCAGAAAACATTTTTAAAAAAATCTGAAATGTTTAATAGACTTTGTTTGCGTGAATTACTATTTTTTGACATTTAAACAAAAGGAAATATTGCATTATGAATGAAAACGCTTATTACATATTGGGAGTACGAATTAGTTCGGTCCGTTTTCAAAAAAATAGCTCTGACTGTTATGAATATTTCATAGTGACAGCTGGTTTTGGTGGTTTCAGAGAGGTTAGGCATCTGTCAATAATATTCTGTTTATATCGCTTAGAGTTTCATACAACTGTATTTTAATTTGTTGAATATGTCAAATTTTGTAGTAACTAATCAGCATTTACAGGAGGCTTTATGTTTCTGCTTTAATTTTAAGAAAAGTGCAGCTGAAGCGCATCGAATGCTTATAGAAGTTTATGGTGACAATGCTCCAACTGATAAATCATGTAGGGAATGGTTTTAAGAATGGAGAGTGGTGCTGCATACTATGAGCTGCTACAACCTGGCGATTCCATTACGGGCGATCGGTATAGGCTACAATTGATTCGTTTGAGCCGTGCATTACGTGAAAAACGGCCGGAATCCGAGCAAAGACATGACAAAGTTAATCTGCGTGATAACTGTCGGCCTCATGTCACAAAAGTCGTAAAAAATCATTTGGAAATGCTCAAATGGGATATTTTACCGCACCCGCTGTATTCACCGGACATTGCTCCTTCTGATTACTGGTTGTTCCGACGGATGCAGCATGATTTTGCAAATCACTGGGTCACTTCTTTCGCATAAATCGAAAATTGACTCCTAACTTGGATCGCCTCAAAAGACGAGACATTTTTTCGAGATGGAATTTGAAAATTTCCCGAGAGATAAAAAAAAGTAGTAGCCAGCGATGGACAATACTTTGATTAATCTGTTCATACATTTTTTCTGAAATAACTGTATTTTCGACCACAAAAGAAAACAGACCAAACTAATTTGTAAACCCAACAATAGTCACTTTAGATATACCTTTCTTTACTTAATCAACAATGAGTTTAAACGAACTAATTACTCTTAGGGGCTATGCACCGGTCAATATTAACAGAGTTTTTCAGTGATAGTAAATTTACGCTAATGCTAGCAAGAATTTCGTTTTTTAAGCTGCCCTTTTATCATTTTAAGTTCTGGAATTACACAAATGCCCAATTAAAATCAATTAATTATATATATGTAACATAAAAAGCTTCAATTAATCTTTATATGTTAGTTTCTTCGTTATAAAACAACTCCTAATTTATTACTACTTAATTCTTCAAATCGAAGCACTTTATGATACTTTTNAGATTTAATTCTTTTATTAATACAAAAGTATTTACTTTTTGTAATACATATATATATATTTTCTTCTTGGCGTTTTCTTTCTACTTTTTCTTCTTGGCGTTTTCTCACTTCTTTTTCTTCTTGGTGTTTTCTCACTTCTTTTTCTTGGTGTTTTCTTCCATAAAGCTCTTAGGAAAGCTTCTATAAAAGTAGGCGTAACTTCAAAGCCATCTGGCGTAACTAAATCTGTGATGAGTTTATTATAATTATTTTTCCCAGCTTAAAGTCTTGAAAAATATTAGCTGAAAGAAACAGTACTTTTTCTCTGCTTTTGGTAAATGAACATTAGAAAATAAAAGAACCAATTAAGGTCGCTGGTATGATGCCTCGTGTGCAAAGTGCATACAAATCGTGGTTGCAGTTGCTTCAGATGTATTATTATGAAATATGAAGTTCCTCATAACATCTAAGAGTAATTTCTACAAAGGTAGGCGTAACTACAAAACTAACTGGTTTTTTACTATAATAAACTATAATGAGTTTATTATAAAAATTTTTACCTTTTAAATATATAAAAGAAATAATTTAAAATACAGGTTATAAAAGTGAAAACTTAGAATGCATTTATAGGCAATAAAAGGCACCAAAACATCACACATCTAATATAAATTTAGTAAATGAACAACACTACCACTATTAATTTAATATATAGTTTTAAATTATTATACAAATCTTTTGTTCATCTGCGCATGCGTAATATCTTAAAAAACATTTGCCGAAAGCAATAGTGTATTTACTACTCAGCTTTTGGTGAATGGAATGGACAATGGAAGAAAGAACCACAACTTAAAGAATCGGTTTATGACGGACGACTTCTTCTTATGCAATGATGTACGATGTACGTCGTAATACATTACAAATCTAATTGTTATAAGATGTTGCTGAGCTGGCAGAGAGACTGCTTTAATTGAAAAAGCTTAATTTATTTAAGAGCTGTAGTTTCTGGCCGATACTGTAAGAACAAAAGCGCAAGTTTCGCAGAGTTTTCCGTTTCTTTTTTAAATTATAAATTTAATCAAAATTTTTTTTGCATTTACGCTGCAAAAACGTTTTTGCAAAAAGGAGCAAGTTGCACTTTTGATATTCGAGTTTAACTTTCAAACACCAGATTTCAGAGTTATTTTAGAAAAAAAAGAAAGAATTCAATAACTCATTTTATAGCTATGAATTTGTATTAGTTTTAAGTATTGACATAATTAGGTTGCTCTTTTTATACAGATGAACAGTTTCTGTATAAGTTCCGTAACTCTAAATACGAATTGCGGGCAGTGAGTTTGCTGTGTTAAGCTTTAGAACCGGCATATAATTACATTGTGAAGCAATTTTTTTTTTTTTTTTTTTTTTTCCATCATAATNTTTTTTTTTTTTTTTTTTTTTTTTTTTTTTTTTTTGCTTACCTGAGATTTATGTACGGGCTTAGATATTTTCGCGTCGCTGGTTTAAATCTGCAACCGATTTTTCTCTACATGCTACAGTATTTGAGCAATTTACTAATATATTCACAGTTGTGATTATATTAAAATTCACGCGAGTGACTACTACATGTTGCCACTTTTTTTAAACGTAGGGAGTGGTAGGAAGAAGGCTGTAATACATTTCAGTCTATGATGTGATATGCTATGCTCTTCTATTTTTTGTTAACTTGTACCTTCACTTGTATTAACTTGTGCTTTCACTTGCAATAACTTGTACCTTCAGACAAAAAAATAAACTGAACTAAAAATATGATCTTGAAAAAAAATTGCAATTATCCAAACAAAACTAATTTAAGATTTGAAATTCCCACACCATATCAGGTCTATGTAAAAGCTGTTTCGTAAGCCCATCTCTTAATATACATTTTTAAAATGCTTGTCGAGAATAAAGTAAAAACGGTAGG